TCTATCTATCTATCTATAATGGCTATGCAGGGTCTGAGAAAGGGCCAACTGAGGGAGCCACCTGGAGATATGAGGGAGGCACAGAGAGACGTGGAGGCAGCATTAGAGACACCAGTTTCCAGGGAGATGACAGATGATCAGGGCAGGTTCCCCAGAGGAGGTGACTCAGCAGGTGGACCATGGATCTGAAAAGGACAAATCCTCCCAGGCAGAGGAAAGAGTTGATGTAAAATGGGGAAAACCAACGTGATGAAGTCAGGGGCAGACACAGGTTTTGGGGTGAGGCACCTGAACAGGAAGGCAGAGGCCAGACTCTGAAGAACCCGGCAAGGTCAAGGGGAAGATTTTGAGTTTTATTCTAGGTCTAACAAGAAATGAAGGATTGAAGAAGGGGAGAGATGCAAACTGATCCAGGCTGAAAAATGCTTCTGTGGCTGCCAGGTGGGGAACAAGCAGGGGTCGGGGGAGATGACACAGGCTTGGACCAGGGTGGTGGCTGGGGAGGTCGGGGGAGAATGGGGAGAGGTGAATAAATGTGGACTGGGGACAGGATCGACGGGACACCTCAAAGTGGGGACAAGGAGTCCAGCTGAGGGCTTGGCCCGAGCACCTAGATAAGGAAGGGTGACACTTAGCAGGACGAGGAAGTCCAGGAGGAGCAGATCTGTGCAAAATAATGAATCAAGTGCTGTCTCTGTGTGCATATCTGTGTGCTTGCATGCCAGGGCCTGGGTGTGCGTGGACATGTGTAGGTTCCATGTTTACCCTGCAAGGCTTCAGCACTTACCCCCTTGGCTTGCCTGTGTGGGAGCTCCTGGGCCTATCCTGGCTCATCGGGCTTAGTTTCTTGCCCTCCCTGGGCCCAGGGGCTGCTTTTGCCAGATGGGGATTCCCTAGTGGGCAGCGAGGGTGATGGGAGGCCCTGGGCACTGCCAACATCTGGGCACATTATCCGGGCCCAGGAGGCTCCCGTAGCCCCACCCAGCAGCAGCAGGCAGGCTCCAGGGCAGCTGGTGGCGATTAGCAGCGCTGATTACCTCGTGGCGATGCCATCTGGGGTGAGGGCATTCAGCCCAGCCCCACGGGATACCCAGCTTGCTGGCATGTAAGGCTTCCCAAGGCTGAATGCATATAAGTGCGCCAGCCTCACTGTGCACAGGGACCTGTAACGCTGTGATTGTGGGCACAGAGCTGAGTGCGTGTGACCACCTGTGGCTGTAGGCACTTCTGTGAGCGAGTAGTCATGCCTTCAGGGACACGGCTATGCTTTGTGTGCGTGTCTGAGTGTATGTATACTCATGTGATCACGTGTGTACATTTGAGAACCTGCAGTGAGTTGAGTGAGAGGTTTCCTTTTGCAGCACCTCCGGGCTCCTACATGTGACCTGTTATGTATATGTGTGCATAGGGAGTAGTGTGTACTGCATGTGTCTGTGTGGAAACGGTTTTAGAGTCAGGTGTGTCTGTGTGAAGATGGGTGCCTCTGTACAGGGGAACCCTGCACAGCCAAATGCAGCTAGAATGCCCTTGGCCACCGGCTCCTGGGGGAATGCAGGTATGGCTGAGGGAGGAACAGACAAGGGCTCCTTTCTAGACTACGTCTGTGATATTGCATCTGGACAGAGCATGTGTCCTAGGCGTGGCTGCTCTCATGTTCACCCTGGGTGCTAGGGGCAGGCACCTGGACTCCCTCTTTGAGGTGCCTGTGGCTGTGGCTCTGGCTACTGTGGCCCAGCCAAGTGCCCTGCTGTGACATGTGAGTGCGTGGAAGCATGCTGGAGGCTACCACACTTGGGCTGTGTGTGACGGCAACTGTGCCATCCTGTGCTTCCCCACCACTGAGGTGGAGGCAAACAGGGAAGTCTGTCTCCTGTGGTGAGAGTCGGGTGGAAGATGTAAAATCACACGTGTGAAGTTTTGAGGACCCAGCCTGACCTACGTGTCTCCTATTTGTCGCAAGTGCCCAAAAAGCCCCACCCCCTGCACTTCCTGCCTGCTGAGCTCAGCATTTCCCAGGCCCCACCACCGCAGCCACAGCAGCATCTGGGTCGGCTCTGAGCAAGGACCACAGTGGGGCGCCTCCGTGGCAGTGGCATGGTTGGGGTTTCCACTGACTCAGCGCTTCTGGGTCTGGAGGAGGAAACCCCAGCCCTGCCCCTGGACCCCACTTGGGTTAACTGGAGCCAAAGGGCTGGGTGACAGGAAGCAACCCCCTTCCCCCCCCCCACTGCCCTCTCCATTCCCGCCCCACCCCCTGGCAATGATAGCACTCTGTGGCTGCCCTGGTGACCCCTGATTCCAGCTTTGCTGGGGTGCCTCAGCCTTGGGGACTTCAAAGGGGAAGCCCTGGTGGGGGCAGGCTGTCACTTCAGTCAAGCCCTTGCCTCTGGGGATCACCTGCAGTTTCCTCTCTGGAAAACCCACCCTTCCTTCCTGCACCAATGCTTGCAGACCTGGACCCTGAATAGAAGGCAACCTCCCGCTCAGACCGGCCCTGCCCCATCCTCTCCCCACGCCCCACCTGGGATCACAACCAGAATGAACCTCGCAGCCAGCGTTTCCAGAGCCGGCTTCTGGGCACCCTCAGGCGCTGTCTGCTCATGCCCAGCCAGACCACGGTGACCCTAGTCCACAGATGAGAAAGGCTAGTTAGAGCTACAGGCTGGAGGCTGGCTCAGACGTTTGAGCCCTTCTAAAGTCAAGTCCTTTGCTTGGGGACACTTCTCTGGGCAGCAGGCCACAGCACGAGGGCTCCATTTAAGTTTTTCCCCCACCCCCATCCCTGGTGCAGACAGAGGTTCAGGCTGCCCGGGAATGCTAGGCCGAGGAACTGGAAAAAGCTGACCACTGAGCCTCGGTTGGCAGCCACGTCACGAGTTCCATGGTTCCTGGGGAAGAGGAGGGTCCCTATCCGCCTCCCCCAGCCAAGAAAGGGGAAGAGGGGGAGCTCCGCGCAGGAACCCCCTTCCGGGGCAGCTCCAGGCACGCAGGGTCCCGCCTAGAGCCTAGCGCGCCGCGCTGCTCGCTCACCTGGCAGCCAAGCGGCAGGGGCGGGCCTGGGCTCCCGGCCAGGCCAGGAGCGGGACTGGGCGGCGGGTCCAGCGCTCCGGCCGCCCCTGCCGCTGCCGAGGCCCCTCCCGGCCTCCCGCCTCCTCGGGCCTGGCAGGCCGGCCCAGCTGTGTTCCATTAGGCGCCCTGGCAGGCCCCCAGCCCCCTGGAACCGCCCCTCTTCCCCCACCCGGGGCCCAGAGTGGCCGCAGTCCCAGGCAGGCAGGCAGGCAGGCAGGCGTGCGCCCCGGCGGCGGCAGCTCTCATTCCCAGGGAGCTCCTAGCGCGAAGGAAGCTGGGGACCCCCGGCTGGCAGGGAGAGATCGAGGACCCCCCTAGGGGGGCCTGCAGAAGCCAGGCACTGCTTGCCCAGGCTGGCTGGCTGGCTGCCCGCCTGAGGCTGCCCGGATTGCTCAGGGAGGTGAGGGCATCCCCAACCACGGGTAAGTGGGGGTGTAGTGGCCTGCTTGTGGGGGCTTGGGGCTGCTCCAGACCTGCTGTGTGACCTGAAGCAGCGTGTCTCCCCTCTCTGGGGCCCCGTCATCTCCTCTGTAATGGGATGAGCTCTAAGCTTCGTCCTGGATCTGACTCTCCCTGCCCCCAAAGCCGTGCCAGTGTGTCGGGGTGGATGGTCTCCTGGTAGCCCGTCTCCCTCTGTGCCGTAGCCCGAGGCCTGCCTGGCCAGTGGAGGACAGGGATGGGGAGCCCAGAACAGCACATTGCTGCTCACAGTCTGGCAGGCACCCGCATGTTACCCGGAGCTGGCTGCTCTTCCATTGGCTGGCAGGAGGGGACAACCAAGATGGGATTTGAAACCTGGGAAACACACCCTCAGGATGGGGGAGAACAGTGTAAGGGCACAGCTCTGTCTCAGAGAGAGGGGGCTAAGTCCTATCTCCAGATCTACTGGGATAAAGGGTCCCTCTGTCCTCATGACTATGGATGGGGGAATAGGATTGCATCACAGTTGAAAGGAATGAGGTCAGACTCATGTAAGAACTTCCCTCTAGGAAGGTGTTGGCGGGGGATGGGATGTCATCAGCTGCCTGTGTGTGTGTGTGTGTGTGTGTGTGTGTGTGTGTGGTTGAGTAAAGTAGTAAGCGTGTCTGTGAGCATGCCTGTGTGCATGTGGGATTTTATGCACACACTGATATGTTCCTGTGTCACTAGGTGTGACACACACACGGCTCTGCATGTGCGTCTGAGTTGCCTGTCTTGAGGGAGGCCAGATGATGAATGGGTGCTGCTGACCGCTTGCTGAGCCTGCATTGATTTATCTGGGCCCATCCATCAGGGCTTCATAAAACTAAAAGACGAGCATCAGTCAGCGGGGAGGGCTGGCAAGATCGTGAGCTCTGTCGGCCTGCTCTCTCGCACACTGCATGCATGGGAGAAGCTTCTGGGCCCACATGCAGTCAGCCCGGTTGCCAGCCTGGTTGCGGGTGCCTGGCTAAGCGGGGTGCAATGAACCAGGGTGCGAGGTTGGTATATGCCAGCACAGAATGTGAGCTACTAAAATACTGAGATGCTTTCAAGTGTCCTGCTAAGTAACCTGTGCCTGCCGCTCCATGGCTAGCTTGAACTTTCCTGGACTGCCAGAATTCTCTAGATCTCTCCTTCATCCAGTAACTGACCACTGGCACAGTCAGGTGCTGCCTGGCCCTTGTCTGGAAGCTCTGGTCAACATTTTGCATAGCTGGTCCACGCCTGTGCCATACCGATGGTTAAATATTTTTAATATCGCCCCCGTGCAAATCCTAGCCCAGAGTCTGCGGTTGGGCCCCTGGGGAGAGTCTGCTGGCCTGCCAGACCTCCTGCCACCTCAGTGCCAGTGCCTGAGCCCCAGGAGTTGACTGCTACTTGCCCACATGCGGAACGTGCTGTGTGAACTCAGGAGTCTGCCTTCCCGGTCTCTGCTTTGTAGGTGCTGTGGCTGATCGCTCTGGACCAAGATGTGGATATCTTGGACTCCTGGCCTATGGCTGCTCAGTCTCTGGGTCACCTTCAGCCATGGGGCGAACACAGGTGAGATGGCATAGGAGGGTCAGGGACCCCGCAGGCCCACAGCTGGTTCCTGGAGATGCTGGAGTCCGTTATGCACCTGTGACCATGCACCTGTCCTTAGGCAGGAGTCTAGCGGCTAGGCCCAGGGTAGACTACGGTGTTTGCGTCTGTGGGAGGTGAGCTGAGAGTGCGTGTGCATATGCATGCTTTTGCCTCTAAGCATGGCTATGTTTGCACTGTAGATTCTATCGGCGCGTATGCCCCTGTTCCTGCCTGTGGGAGAACAGCTCCCACCCTGGTCTGTAACCAGCCCACAAGGGTTGCTGTTATGACCCGTGGGGGCGGGGGAGGAGCAGCAGCAGCCTCTTGTGCCCAAGGCAGCTGCATCGAGGAAGATGCTCGAGGCCTTAGATCCTCCACATTGGGGCCTGACCTCTGACCAGAGGATACAGGGGTTCTTTTTTTTTTTTTAATATTATTTTATTTATTGGTGGAGAAACAGACAGGAAGATCTCCCCAAGCGGCCACAACAGCCAAAGCTGAGCTGATCCGAAGCCAGGAGCCAGGAACTTCTTCTGGGTCTCCCACATGGGTGCAAGGTCCCAAGGCTTTGGGTCATTCTCGACTGCTTTCCCAGACCACAAGTAGAGAGCTGGATGGGAAGTGGAGCTGCCGAGATTAGAACTGGCACCCATATGGATCCTGGCACGTTCAAGGCGAGGCCTTTAGCTACTAGGCTATTGCGCTGGGCCCGGAGGATGCACCTTTTGAAGGCCCAAAACCAGGGGACATTGATTGGCCAGTTCACCTGGCCTTGCTTGTGTGCCCTCTCATCTGGGTAGCACCCTACCCATCCATGCAGGAGCAGAACTTCTAGAGCCCCGAACCAACCAGAGAGGGGGGTGGGGTAGAAAGCCCTGGATGCTGAAGTGAGAGGTATGCGTGCCTGCTGGGAACGGACGTGCCCGCCCACTGGCTGTGTGTGCCCATATGCACCTCTGTGTGTGTGCTCATGAAGCGTGCTCTCCTCTCCCGCACCAGGTCCTGGGGGGAGGGGCGGGGGCAGAGAATTTCCACATCTGCAAGGAATCTGGGCCTGGGGCCAAGGGGTGACTCACCCATCCCTGCTGTGCTGCTGAAGGAAGGGATGGTCTTTCTGGCCAGACCTGGGGGAGGGAGGCTCTGGTGGGGTCACACTTCTGGACCAAAGACCAGATTGGCCAGAATGTGAGATGCCAGCTTCCAGGGGCTGTCTTTGCCATCTTATCCTGCTGCTCCATCTGCGCTGTAGGATGGCCTCTTGGGGTCCTCCTGCAGGGTCTCCCGCTCAACACTTCCGTTCTGCCAGTCCCAGGGAGAGGGGGGTTCAGGGCTTTGGAGACCTGAATTAAGCTTTCCCTTTCTCTTTCTCTACTACCCTAGAATACCCTGCCTGGAGCCCTGGGGGCTTCCAAACACACCTAGGAGCCTGTGGCCTTCTCAAACATGCAGTCTCTCCCCAGTATTTCACAAGATAATGGCCTAGGTGAAAAGCTGGCTTGTTGGTCTAGACTTTATCTGGTCTGCTCGTTGGCTTCGATTGTGGAAAATGGTACACCCAGTCATAGCTGAGAACGTGTGTACCAGCAGCGTGTGGCAGTGCCTTGTGGCATGGGTATCTGCAGCTCATGGACATGTGGGATGTGCAACCTGCTGTTGTATGTGTTGAACACAGAGCACATGTGACCAGGCATGGTGGTGGAAGCATGCCCACACATGCAGTTCTGCCGGATGCTCCAGGGCTGCCCAAGGTGTCTTCTATAATTTGCTGGTTCAGAGCTGATTGGAGTGTTGGATCATCTGAGTTGCTGGAGTTCTGATCCTGCTCCGCTGTTGACTCATTTCATGGTCTTGGGCCTCAGTCTTCCTGTCTTTATGCTGGCGATTTCCTCCTGGTTCCTTCCACCAAGGGAGGGGCAGTAGGGATCAGAAGGCAAGTGCGGAGGGTGGCCTTGAGGCCACCAGGCCTGGCCACAGGTCCCCAGCAGGAGGCGACGCTGGGTTTCCCCAGAGCTCAGCTGAGCAGCAATAGTGGCTAGAGTTCCCTGAATGTCTCATTGCCAAATCCTCTTGCAGAGGGGCAGTGCCCGCCTTCACAGCAAGAGGGACTCAAGCTGGAACACAGCACTGATCTGTCTGCCAATGTGACTGGTGAGTGCCCGCCCCATCCTGTCAGGGGCCCCTTTCTCTGCAGCCTCTGTAGCTCTTCTCACCTGCCCGGCTGGGTGGGCTTCTCTTATGTCTCCCCTAAAGGCTTCAACCTCATCCGCCGACTCAACCTCATGAAGACGTCTGCCATCAAGAAGATCCGCAACCCCAAGGGGCCTCTCATCCTGCGCCTGGGGGCGGCCCCGCTGACCCAGCCCACACGGTAAAGACCCCGGGATGGCCACTGGGATTTCATTGGCCTCAGCTTGCCCAGCAACTCAGCATGTGGGAAGAGTTTATCTGTGTTTGGAAGTTTGAGCCTGTGTGCACCTGGGGGTGGGGTGGGAGGATGGATGGTTGATGGGCTCTGTGGTCCTGAGAGCCCAGGATATGTGGCAGCTGGGGACCCTCACAACCCCCAGCCCAACCTGCGCCTCAAAGTGCCCTCTTGGCTCCATCCCCAGCCGAGTGTTCCCTCGGGGCTTCCCAGAGGAGTTTGCCCTGGTACTGACCCTACTGCTGAAGAAGAACAGCCCACAGAGCACATGGTACTTGTTTCAAGTGACCGATGGAGAGGGGTACCCGCAGGTGAGTCCTGCCGCCACCCTCACTGCCCTACTTGCTTCCCAGCTGTGATTTCCGGGACTGCCCTATTCCATTCCAGTGCCCAAGGCTACCCCAGCCCACCTGGCCCAGGGAGTTTTCTCCTCTGTCTGGTGACCGTGAGGGCCCTTGACTTGGCCCTCAATCTGAATCTCTGTCCCAATGTCTTCTCTTCCAATTCCATGCAGATTTCCCTGGAAGTCAACAGCCAAGAGCAGAGCCTGGAGCTCCGGGCCCAGGGCCAGGATGGCGACTTTGTCTCCTGCATCTTCCCAGTGCCCCAGCTCTTTGACCTGCGCTGGCACAAGCTGATGCTGAGTGTGGCTGGACGTGTGGCCTCCGTACATGTAGACTGCGTCTCCGCCTCCTCCCAGCCCCTGGGACCTCGGCAACCCGTGAGGTCCCTGGGCCACGTGTTCCTGGGTTTGGATTCTGAGCAGGGCAAACCTGTCTCGGTAAGTGCGAACTGGGGCCTGGGCCTCTGCTCCCACCTTTGGGAGCCTGAGTGAGCTCCCTGGAGTCCATAGGTCACCGGGCTTTCTCCTTAGAATCCTTCTTGGCTCCCCACTGGCCCCCATATCCAGCCTAAATGTACTAACCTGGCATTTGAGGCCCACCATGATCTGGTCCCATGGGAGTCTCTCTATGGCTCTCTTTTTATTTCTGGTCAAGTCCACTGCAGTCATCCTCTGGTCCCTCCACACTTCCATGCCACTGCCTCTGCTGTTACCCCCAACCCAGAACGTCTTTCCTTGCATGTCACCTGCCCTTCCAGGCCCAGTCCCTCCCTCTCCTCTTCTTTTCCCTGTAGCATATGTGCATTTGTTCTGCTTTTGATTGGGAGCTGTGTTTCTTTCTTTAAATAAAAAAAAAAAAAAAAGACTTATTTATTTGAAAGGCAAGGTTACAGAGAGAGGGAAAGAGCTTCCATATAACTTCCTTTTAAAGAAATTAAGTAAATCTTAGGAAAAGGGGAAAGTGACTTGCGTGTCCCCTGCAGTTTGACCTTCAGCAGGCGCATATTTACTGTGACCCGGAGCTTGTGCTGGAGGAGGGCTGCTGTGAGATCCTACCCGCAGGGGTGAGTGGTGCGGCTCTGGTGCAGATGGGCAGGGGGCAGGAGGGGAAGAGCTCGAGGCACTGCTCAAGGTGCACTGTGATGGCCTTGGGGGTTCTGGAAGGGGTGTCTGGAAGTCTTGGGGTGAATCTGACCCCAGCCCTTTCCTTGAACCAAACAGTGCCCCCCAGAGAGCTCCAAGGCCCGTCGGGACACCCAGAATAACGAGCTCATTGAGATCAACCCGCAGACAGAAGGCAAGGTCTACACCCGCTGCTTCTGCTTGGAGGAGCCTCAGCACAGCAAGGTAGGTGAGCAGGGCAGGCAGATGTGGGCACAGAAGGGCACAGGTAACTCTGCCCTTCCCCTGGCCCGACAGAGGTCTGCCTCCAGTCAGGTGGTTATGTGCCCAGACAGGAAGGGCACAGGAAACCCCACCTCTTTGTGTATCATCCCAGAAGAGGCTCAGACACAGCCCCACGAGTGACCCTGTTCCTGCATACTGTTGGCATGGACAGGGCCATGGAGCTCTGGTACTGTCCAGGCCCTCTCCAATGCCATCCAGAACATTCTGATGAGGGTAGAGCCAGGCCTGCTGCCCCAGCCAGTTTCTCCAAGACAGGGCCACTCTGGGATCCTGTTCTGCTGCTTCTTCCCCCAGGGCTGGCTCCTGCTGCAGGACCCAGTCCTGCTCAGTTCAAGGCCAGGCTGTTTCTCTGCCCAGCACCATGGCCAGCTGCCCTCCCAGGTTCTTCCAAGGTGGCAGAGAAGCCCAGTTCTTTCCTCAGACCCACCCCCTGGCCGGGCAGTGTCCCTGCCCTCCTAGGCACCGTGCCCAGCTCTGGCTGCAGGAACACAGGATCCCATTGATTCCTGGTCTTGTTTTCTCCGACATCACATGGGTGGGGGAAGAGAAGGGGTGCCGGTGGAGAGAGAGGCCCAAGGGGCTTGAGCAGGCCCTCAAGGCCCTGGCAGTCATCAGATTCTAGGGTACGGGAGTTCATGGAATCTATGCGCCCACCTGGGTGCCAGCATGGGTCCCAGATTTGCCCCCTTGCCAAGGGTTTTCCTTTGCTCTATCTACCCAGGTGGATGCCCAGGTGACGGGAAGAATCCGCGAGAGGACAGACAGGGAAACCAAGGTAGAGTGGTGGGTGGGGGGAGGAACCTGTAGTGCCCTCTGTCTGCCCTTCATGCCCTCTGTAACTGCCTGGCAGAACACACCCCACCTCTATTCTCTTCCTGCCTGTCCCCATTCCTGGACAGAGCTTCGGACCTGTAGGTGCCAGCTGTGAGAGGGGGGTGGTGAGACTGGGACAGATTGGGCAGACATTCTGTAGCACACCCGTGCCTGGTTCTTAGGCAAGAGTATGGGAAGTAGATTTTGGTCCCTAAGTTCTGTGCTTCTCCCCACTTCCCAGGTCCATCGGCAGACCTCAACTGATGAGGGGAGTGGGCATCAGGACTGGCAAAAGCCTTCCTTGGTTGAGATGATGTCAGTACAAGCTCTTTGGACAAGACATTGAGGCACATAGGCTGGGCATGGGGGCTGGATGACTTACACAGCTCTTACTCTTTCATGGGGCCCAGCGCTGGGCCCTGGCTGCCCACTGTCCTTGGGGTGTGGGGTAGTAGCCCTGGGGACACACTTGCTGAGTTAGCAGCAAATATCCCTGGGTATTACTGAGACCTTGGCCAGGAGCCCCCTAAGTTCTGAGTCTCTCTTGGCCCTGACATGCTATGTGATCTGGAATCTTCTTTGCTGTTTTTGTCTGGGCTCCTGTTTAGCTGTAGGTCTGCGCTGGTGGGAAGGGAGGGGCAAGCATGGTTTTAGGGATGCCCATCTTCATGTTTCTCTCCATTCCCACCCAGAACAAGTATGACATCCTCTTGGCTGGAGGTGTACATGCGTGTGTACTTGGTGAGCACACGTGTGCGCTTAGCATACACGTGTGCATACCTGTGTGTTCATGTGTGTGGGTGGAGTAGAGAAGGGTCCCAGGGCTGAGTACTGACCCTCTGGACTCCTTGCCTTTCAGTGCCCACCCTGCGTCCCTGCTGTAGGGGAGACAAATGTGAGTGAGTAGAACTTGTGTGCCGGGTGGGATGGGCGAGGGCTGGGAGTGGGTGTTGCCAGGAGTTGGCTGGGCAGCTTCCTGGTTGAGGACAAGCCAGTCTTTGTGCATTTCCTAATTCCTTCTCTGCCCGGAGCTGGGCCTGCTGCTACTCCCTTCCTTGCAGGGTCCTGCGACCTGGGCAAAGCACTGGGACCCAGGGTGGGCATAGGAAGCGGCTATGGGGGTGGGGGAGTGTCGGAGGGGTCAGGCCCTTGGTTGCTGGGCTGGCTTTGCACTCCTACACGATCTGAGTCCTGCGGTGCTGTGACAGCCTCTCGAGTCATCTTGCAGGCTAGAGAGCAGGGCACGGGGAGGAGGGTGGGCTCGGGTCATGTGGTGCAGTGCAGGAACCCATGGCCAAGTTGACAAGTGGGACCACAGCAGACAGGCCAGGCTCAACTCTCTCTTAGGGTCCAGGAGGAGAAGGGAAAGGAGAACCCGGCAGGAGCCCAGCTGGCCCCCAGCTGCACCTTGTTTGTGGGCAGCATGAGTCATCACTCTCCCACAGCCTGGGTGCAGCCCCAGCTCCCCTTGGCCCTTGATTTTGGGGGACAGCAGGAAGTAGCCTCTCCATTACTTACCCCTCTTTTGATTCAGTCCAAATCTGATAAGACATCTGATGGACCCCAGAGGTGAGGGGTTACCTTGGTAACTGAGCAGCAGTGTTGTCCTAGCTTCAGCGGGAGTGGGAGTGTGGGCTGGGGGATGGAGCTAACCCAAACTAGGCAGGTTAAAGAAAGTAGGGTAGAGGCCCAGCGAGTTTGACAGCCTTTGGAGTGAGTAAGCAGGCAAGTTGGCCGGGGATGCAGAGCAGGGGCTGTGATTCAGGCTGGTGGTCCTGCCATCCGCTGTGTTGCACTGCTAACTGCTTACCTTCTCTGAGCCCTTGGCTTCCTCTCCCTTTCTGAGGGGTAAGGCTCTCTTCTCTGTCCCCTCAGGTCACTCTTGGTCCCTCTGGCTCCAAGGGAGGGAAAGGTGAACAGGGCCCGCCAGGCCCCTCAGGCCCCAAGGGAGAGAAGGGAGCACGGGTAAGTGCCACCTCCTACAGGGAAACTCCTGGACTGCACCCTGGGGTCGGGTGGAGGGATAAGTGCAGAATCTTTGAAGGGGTTACTGTGCAGAAGGCCTGGTTTTTAGGGTCCCTCATGAGCACAGGTCTAGGGGACATCTCTGGGTGGCCCCAGCCCTGAATCTAGTTCTCCACCTCCAGGGCAATGACTGTGTTCGAGTCTCCCCGGATGCCCCGCTTCAGGTAAGATCTGGAGAAGCTGGTGCTTTGGGGCCGGTAGGGGACCACCCCCTTGACAGCCACAGCATGCCCTTTCCCCTCTCAATGCCTGTCTCCCTGTGCAGTGTGCAGAAGGCCCAAAGGGAGAGAAGGGCACAGCAGGAGCCTTGGTGAGTGTGTACCGGCCAGGGGGCAGAGGACAAGGGGCAGGGGATGTAGGACATGGGACAGGAGGCAGGGTGATCACGCACCAGACAGGGAACAGAGGACAGGATACTGGCCTGGCCTTGTCCTTGCTTTTCTTCACTCCTTCTTTGTGTCTCCTCTCAGGGGCCCTCAGGACCCCCAGGATCAATAGGCCAGAAGGTAACAGGAGGGATGGAGTCCAGGGCGGTAGGCGGGCCTGATGGGCATGAGGAGGGGGTATCGTTGCACTTCCTGGAGGGTGGGGTCAATGGCAAAGTGGCATTGCCCTTCTCTATGCCCTCCTGGTCATCCTGCCTTGTCCCAGTATCCCTGGACCTAGACGGATGTGAATTCCACTGACTCCCAGAGTGGCTGTTTGGGGAGTTATGTCTGCTGTCTACCCTCTTGTGGTGTCTGAAGCCATTCAGCCTTGGGAGAGGTGGAGACCAGCTGCCCCTCACACCCCGACACAGCGCCCTGCCACTTCCAGTGCCTTCCCTCCACTCCAGTCTCTCTGTTTCTTCCCTGTCCAGGGTCAGAAAGGTGAGAAGGGCGATGGAGGCATCAAGGGCCTGCCTGGCAAACCAGGCCGAGACGTAGGTGCTGGGGACCCTTCTCTAGGTTGGGGTTGAGTCCCGGGGACCCATCCTCTAGCTTGCTCAGAAGAGAGGCCCAGGGAGGGGAATGGCTGAGCCCCAGAAGCACAAAGCCCCTTGAACATGGTGATGAGGGGACAGAAAAGGCCCTGGACCCAGGCTTCCTAGTCCTGGCCTCAGAGCCGCTGTCTCCCACCGCATGCTGGCTGACACTTGATGTCCTTGGGACTTGGAGGAAGGGCAGTAAGAGGGGCACATGGAGGTATTTTCCTGTCCCCAGTAGGGAGGGAGATGCTGGACCCTAGGGTCATTCTTACATCTGCCTTACTCCACACAGGGCCGGCCAGGAGAGATCTGTGTCATTGGGCCCAAAGGGCAGAAGGTGAGCAGCAAATGTTTGTGATATGCAGGATCCGGGGCCGGGATGCAGTCACAGCTCTTACCTGACCCACTTATGTTTGATCCAGGGAGATCCTGGTTTTGTGGGGCCTGAGGGGCTGGCAGGAGAGCCGGGACCTCCTGGCCTCCCTGGGCCCCCTGGGATAGGACTGCCTGGGACCCCGGTGAGTACCCATTTGCCTCCCCTCCAATCCTCCTCTGGCCGGGGCTGGGGAAATGAGGCTGGTGGCAGGCTTGGGGTAGAAATGCTCACTGAACCCCAGGGCAAGGTCTCTCAGCAACCCTCCCTGACCCCAATTTTGCCCTCAGGGGGATCCAGGTGGTCCACCAGGCCCTAAGGGGAACAAGGTAAGCATAGGTTGGGGATGGGCATGGGGGTCTGCTTCGCAGGAAAGAGGAGTGGGTGGGACTGGCTTGGCAGGTAAGGACATCTGGGCTCAGCCAGGCCAGGTCCCTGTTGTCCCTATGCTTGCTGAGGTGGGGGCAGGGCAGGCCCAGGCAAGTCAGGACCAGGTTGCCTTCGTTGGAGGGTCCTAGCCCATCTTTGGGTCTTGTGCCTCGAGGAGCAGGGAGCAGTGGCGCCATCCACATCCATCTGATGATTTCTGACCTGGAGCTGCAGGGAAAGGGGATGCAGAGACTATAGCTTTCTCCCTTCCTTGGCAAGCCAAGGGGGTCAGGTTAGACCCAGAAGGGGACAGACCACAGAAAGGGAAGGTTAACAGAGTGTATGGAGACCAGAGGCATGGCAGGGACTGTCCTAACTGCAGAGAGGGGTTGGGTGGGGGAAGATGTGGCAGTCACTTTGGCCAGGTCTCCCGCCTCACTTGCCTTCTGACTGCAGGGCAGTCCCGGCACGCCTGGAAAGGAAGGCCCCAGTGGGAAACCTGTGAGTAATCCCCTACCTGGCCGATGGGGGGTAGGGGATCACTACCTGCCACGCCCGGTCCACTCCTCCGAGAGTTCTGGAGAAAGGTGACCTCAGGCCTTGGGCCTCTTTTGGCCCCCAGCCCCTCTCCCTGGCACTCATGTCTGCTGCTTCTTCTCTTGCAGGGGAAGCCTGGGGTGCCAGGAACAAAGGGCGACAAGGTGAGTCCCAAGCCTGGTTGCCCTAGATGGGGTGGGAGCCCCTCTTTGTGGGGGTCACTGAAGGGATGCTGGACCTTTTCCCAGGTGGGGGGCAGGGGACCTCACCCCTTCTGTATGCCCATGAATAGTGTATGTGATTGAGGTTGGCTGGGTTCGAATCCTGCCTATACCACACACATGGTTTATGAATGGGACAAGTCCATCAGCTCTGGGCCCAAGTTCCCAATCTGCCTATGGATGCAGTCACTTAGGGCTGGCTGCTGGGAGGCAGGTGTGTGTGCTGGGCATTCTACAGTGTCTGGCAGTCCACTTTGCTGTTGAGGGAGGGCAGCGGCATCCCAGGGTCCAGAGCACTGCTCACCACCCCTGGGCCTCAGCCTACTGTGTGCTCGCTCATAGTTCCCCCTCTACTAGGGGGAGCCATGTGAGGTGTGTCCAACACTGCCGGAAGGTTTCCAGAACTTCGTGGGCCTGCCTGGAAAGCCAGGACCCAAGGGAGAACCAGGTGATCCAGCTCCAGCTGGGGTGAGTGCCCAGGGACAACCCCCCGCCACCGCCCACCCAACCAAGCAATCTTAGGGGAACAATCATTGAGAGGAACTAAAGAACTTTGTGGTCATGGAGATTATGGGCAGAGGGTCAGGCTGAGGTGTGTGGACCATAGAGTTCAGGGCTGGGCTAGAGTGCCATGCCAGGTCTCCATGACAACCTCCCAAGGCTCTCCCAGACTCCAGGATGCCTTTTGGGCATGCTGGGGTGGATCCGGCTCTTATTGTGAGTGAGGGCTGTGCCCTGGGCCTGGTGTGTGGCTGGAGGAATGGGCAGGGCCAGTGGGGTCCTGGCCTGGGCTCCCCACCCAACTTGCTCACACAGCTTTTCTTTCAGGAGGGCCTGAGGTTTGCTGGACAGAAAGGTGATCGGGTATGTTTGCATACTCTCTACTGGGGAGGCTTACCTTCTTATTTATATAAAAGAGACACAGAGATAGTCACATCTTTCCACTGGTCGGTCACATCATCCCCTAATGCCATCCCCGAACCCAGGGCTGGGCCAGGCTGAAGCCAGGAACCTGAAAATCCATCCAGGTCTCCCATGTGAGTGTCAGGGGCCTAACTACTTGGCCATCACCTCCAGGGTGTTCATTAGCAGGAAGTTGGGGTCAAAAGCAGAGCTGGGATGTGAGTGCCACCTTGGCCCCATCTACCACATTTGTTGCCCTGGGTTACCTGCCTCTGGTGTACTGGCCTGGAACCCAGGGAACCCCTGGCTGTTGGTGGGAATTGTGGGGTGTCACAGGGCTGTCCCTATCCATGCACAAGGAGCCTGGGCTGCTCCATGACAAGTCTCATCTCAGCACATAAACCTTTTTTTCCCTATAGGGGGACCCTGGCATCCAAGGCATCAAAGGAGAGAAGGTGAGGGAGCTCCTGTCCCCGGCTTGGTTCCTCTGCCTCCTCCCAGCCCAGGAACCTTGCTGACCCCACCTGCCCCTTCTGCAGGGAGAGCCCTGCCTGGCCTGCAGTTCTGTTGTAGAAGCCCAGCATCTTAGGGATGCAGGCTCCGCTGGTCTACCGGTGAGTGCTCCTCTCCTCGCCTTGAGCAATCTGGCCTGGATGCCCCAGTGATCTTCCTGGTTCTTCACATCTCAGGGCAGGGACCCAGAGGGAGGCCACAATGAGGCAGATATCCCAAGCCTGCACCCTGGTCCCCTCACCACTGCCTGGGCCCAGAATGATGCTCCAGGCCTTGAGCCCTGGGATCTCCTCTTAGCACCTCCTAGTGCCTGGAAACTGCCCAGCTACCTGCAGGCCTGGGAGATTCCCAATACCCCGTCTTGCCTTTCTGTTTCCCTGGGCCTGGGGCTGGGGGCGGGAGGGGCTGTAACCCTGTCTTGGCTGATTGTTCCAGGGCAAAGCTGGTGCTCCCGGGCCTGCAGGGCTGAAAGGAGAGAAGGTGAGTCCGGAGTCAGAGGTCAGGGCTCCTTAGCAGGGAGGCAGGTGGGATGACCTTGGCAGGAATAGAGATCGAACTATAAATTCACAGGGAAATAAATTTACCTATGTTTTGCTGACGGAGTCCAATAATTTATTTCCAAGAGCCCACATGCTCTCCGGGAGAATTCCTTCGTGTTGTACTTTTAATTTAATGATCATCTAAAACTATTAAGCACATTCAAGACTACCTGATAGTAAAATACCATTTAATACTTCTCTATTGCTTATTATGCTCCGGGCCCTGCTCCAAGGCTTGTTGTGAGTGAACTCGTTGCCTCCTCCCCACACGTTCTGGGATAGTTGTTCCATTGTTCCGTTCTGCAGACGAGACAGGAGACACCCGCACACAAGGGCCGAGTTGATCTCTCGGAGCCACACGCATGTTGGGCTGGGGAACTGGGATCTGAGCCCAGGAAGTCTGACTCCAATGTGTCATCGTCACCGCTGGCCTGGGTCACTCAATCTTAGTGCCCTTGGTAGCGTTGCTTGTGGTGGCGCCAAACATGACAGCATTGAACTCTGGGGTACGGTGCCCTCTGGGCGCCCCGGTGCCCTGGTGTGGGCAGCACTGAGACTGTGTCCAGGTCCAGTCCTGACAGGCAAAGCACACTGGCTGGGTGGTAAATGAAGCTGGTGCACACACTCCTGGCACGCCCCTCCTTCCAGTCTTCTCTGCCACTGGAAATGGCATCTGCCCAGCTGCCATCATCCCACAGTTTGTCATCGAGTAGTTACTGTGGTTTTGTGGAGAACACTCAGATGACATATTTTCCCTGCTCAGAACCCTCTGGAACTTGAATGTGTGCTGCGCTGTGTGGCTGGGTCTCAGGGGCGCTGGGAGACCCCATTTCTGCCTTTTCCAATCCCTGTGGTTCCCTCTCTCCTCTCGCTCCCTGATGTAAGGACTCCTTCTGTCAAGACAGGGCCACCTCTTATGGTCTGCCCCTGTGCTCCCTGCTAGAAACATCTAGAATATTTTCTCCCTACATCCTCCTCCGCCTCCAATTCTTTCATCATCTGACCTTAATCTCATCCCTCTGATAACGATCGTGGGCAACATTTTCCAGGACACCCTGTGGGAAATGGCTTCGCCCACTCACTCTGTCTCATCCCTTGCTTTCTGTCCTTGCTCGCTGTTGGGAGTCGGTGTTTTTGAAAGTTCTTAAGTGTATAAGCTCCCTCCAGGCCTGTCGTTGGGTGCTTGCTGGTGGCTGGTGTCTAGCTCCGCCCTCAGGGCGGGAAGGTGGGGACCAGCCAAGAGGGGGAGGAGGGATGCTGTGGAGCTTTGTGCACTGGGGCAGTGTGATCACAGGGCTGGTATTCTGGGGGCCAGAAACACGGCTTTGACTGGTTGTAGGCTACCTTAGGGGCCTTGGGGAAAAGTTATTTTTCCTCCCCTGGACTTCAGTCTTCCTAGCCAGGGAAGCAGGGTGCAATGTAGACATCCCCGGCGGGGTGGGGTGGGGGAGGAAGGCTCCCTTTTAATTCTGGATTCAGTATTGTTCTAGAGCCCAGGCCCCTCCCTGCCTTCTCTGATTTTGTATTCTCTGCTCCATTCTAGGGTAATCTGGGGGAGACAGGGCCAGCAGGCAATCCGGTAAGTGTGAGTGAGGGGTGGACAGGTGGGAGCTGATGGGCCCAGGAAGATGCTGTGTATCACATGTGGTTCCTTATCACTCAGGGACTGCCAGGGCCGGTGGGACCAGCAGGTGCCAAAGGAGCAAAGGTGAGTTAGGGATTTGTCCCGGACAGACATCCACCTTGTGTCCTTACCCTTGGACTCGTCACTGCCTGGGCCCTGGGGTCAAGGGCCCTTATGATGCCTCCCCCACCCTTTGTTTTGTCCCTATTCTCTCCCAGTCCCTCCTAAGATACTCTCTCACTTGCTGCAGAGGCAGCCACACTCCCAGCCCTAGAACCCAAGCCTGGCCCTTGTGCCCTGGTGATCAGGGGGACGCCCTAACCTGGTGCCCTTGCTCCCCAGGGGGAGCCCTGTGAGCTGTGCTCAGGCCTGTCCAAGACTCAGGTTGGGAATGGCCATGTGGCAGCCTTGCCTGGCCCGGCTGGAGAAAAAGGGGAGCCTGGGCCTCCAGGTTTTGGCCTGCCAGGCAAGCAGGTACGTTCTGGGGCCTCTGGGTGTAGAGGTTGGCATGGCTGCAGAGAGCAAAGAACACCCTGGCTGTTGGGTGGGCAGAACCCAAGGAAAGGGGTCAGTACCCCCCCAGGTCTATCTTGCCTGAGTTTGTCCTGTTTTGTAAGCTTCCCAGGGGGTCTCTGCTTATCTGGTTTTTGTACTCCCCATTGGAGAGATGGACAAACTAAGGTGCAGAGCTAGAAAAGGTAGCTCGCCAGGTCTCCTCTTTTAACCTGCACAGGTTGCTTTGGGAGCCTGAGTGCCGAGCTCTGCTGTGTTTGTGATGGGACCCTGTGTCTGACACTGCATAGGGGCACTTGGGGTGTCCAATGTCAGTGAATGGAGGGTAGCAATTCTTTTCTTCTCAGGGCAAGGCTGGTGAGCGAGGACTGAAGGGGCAGAAGGTGAGGGGTCCTTATGAGGGCTGTATGGGCGGGGAGGCCTTTTTTCTGATGCCCTGTGCTCCCTTTCCGCTCCCTTCCTAGCCCCCATCCTCAAGGAGAGGCTGGGAGTGTCTGTGGATCCCAGGAGGCAGCCCACATCTAGCCGGGCTGCCTCTGCACCCATTGAACCCCACTCCTTGCAGGGTGACGCTGGAAGTCCTGGAGACCCTGGAATGCCGGGCACTGTGGGACAGCCAGGACTGTCAGGAGAACCTGGGGTTCGGGGTCCCGCGGGGCCGAAAGGAGAAAAGGTCAGTTGAGATCAGATGAGGGTAGGGCTCATGGGGTGAGCCTAAGCTTCTCCAGGCTGAGATGGAGGCAGTAGGGGTGCACAGAGCTCTTAGTGGGGGAACAACGACCCGCCTTGTGCCTTGCCTCTCTGGCATGGGTGTTGACCAACTCCTGGCTGTGTCCATCTCTGACCAGGGTGACGGCTGCACTGCCTGTCCCAGCCTGCAGGGGACGATGACCGACATGGTGGGGCTGCCTGGAAGGCCTGGCCCCAAAGGAGAGCAGGGCCCAGAAGGCGTGGGCCAGCCTGGCAAAGCGGTGAGTGCAGACTGCCTGCCCCTGCTCCTGCCCCTGCCTGGATGCTGCCTCCCGTTGCCCCAGCCTGCCATGGGAACTCCAAGGATCCATCCCTTGTACTTTTTAGGGCCAGCCTGGTCTACCAGGAGTCCCAGGACCCCCAGGTCTGAAGGGCACACAGGTATGTGTGAGGCTGGGGGAGACCTGGATTGCAGCTATGCGAGGTGGGGAGACGTCTGGAATCAGGTGGGAAATGGGGGCAGGTATTGAAGAGGGAAAGTGGGGAGGGTGTCTCTATGAGAAATTATCCTTCTTTTTCTTCAGGGGGAGCCTGGGCCTCCGGGAATGGGAGCGCAGGGACCCCAGGTGAGTGTCCAGCTCTTGCTTAGGCTGCCCATGCCTAGTGCTGCCGTCACAAGCTGCCTGCCTATCCAAAACCATAGGGCTCTGCCTGCCTTGGATGCCCGTGGCCGTGGCTCTGGGAGTGGGGTCTGCAGCAACCCTGGCCAATGCTGCCTTTGTTAGGGCCTTGGCTGGGATTTGTACCTCTCTGCCACTCAGGGTCTTCTGGAGTAGCCCCCACTACAATTTGGGCAAGTGGACCAGATCTGTGGCGGGGTAGAGCCAATCAGGGAGGCTGACTTGGGTGCCATATACCCCAGAGTGCCTTTTCTGACTTGCAGGGGGAGCCTGGAGTCCAGGGCTTACCCGGCATTCAGGTACGTCTGCCTGGTGTCTGGCGGAGACAGCCCAGGGAAGGGGCTGCTCCAGGATAATGGATGACTACCTGTGCTGTCTTTTGCAGGGCCCTCCAGGACCTCGGGGTCCAGCTGGCCCCGCAGGAGAGAAGGGTGCCCAGGTGAGCCTCCACCACCATGGGCACTCAGTCTCTGGGGCTAAGTGGCACTACTCAGAGGGCTGCCCTGAAGTGTCTCGCCCAGTGGCCTGGAGCCAGCTGCCAATTGTGCCCCTGCAACCTTGCTGCCCTCTCTCCTCCAGGGAGCTCCGGGGGTGAAAGGCTCCATTGGCCCAGTGGGACCTCCTGGTGCCAGTGTCTCTGGGCCTCCGGTAAGAGTCCTGTCTGTGAGCCATGCTGGGGGCATTGCTGGGACCAGGGACCTTGGTGCTGGGAAGAGGGCGAGGGACTGAGAACCTTTCCCGGCAGCGTGGGGGATGGGAGGAGGAGAGAGGCCTCGGGCAGCCCAGCCTGTTAGAAGCAAGGCCTTGCTTTTGCAGGGAATGCTAGGTTGATGGTAAAAAATGAATGCCGTTGGGTTTGTTTGTTTAGTTGTTTTTCAAGGTTATTTATTTATCATTTGAAAGGCAGAGTTACAGAGAGAGAGGAGAGAGAGAGATTTTCTCTCCACTGGTTCACTTCTCAAATGTCTGCAACAGCCAGAGCTGAGCAGGTCCAAAACTGGGAGCCAGGACATTCTTTTGGGTCTCCCATTTGGGTGCAAAGGCCCAAGGACTTGAGTCATCCTCCACTGCTTTCCAAGGCCACAATCAAGGAGTTAGATTGGAAGCGAAATAGCCGGGGTTTGAACCAGTGCCCATATGAGACACTGGCACTGCAGATGGAGAATTAATCTATAAAGCTACGGCACCAGCCCCACACCATTATTTTTATAAGTGTTTTTATTTATTTTGAAGGCTGACAAGGACAGACAGACAATAAGAAAGAGAACTCCCATCCCCTGGCTTGCGCCCCAAAGGCCAAAGCTAGGCGTTAAGAATCCAGTCCAGGTCTCCCACTTGGGGAGCGGGAGCTGAGTTACTTGGGCCATCACTACTACCCCCCCCCCCACCTGTATCATGCCCTGGAGAACTTGGATGCATTGGTAGGAACCAGGAATCATGAGTAGGAGTCAGGGATTGAGCCTAGGCATCCCATGAGACATACCACTCTCTTAGCCACTGAGCTAAATGACTGCTCAATTTTTTTTTTTTTTTTGAGCAGTCATGTGTTGAGATCCTGTGTTAAGCTCTAAACGCAGAAAGTCACTTCTTCCTCAGGACAACCCAGTAAGGCAACAGCTATTATTGTCCCTGTTTCCTAGCTAAGGAGAAGCAGGCCAGAGAATGAGCGGGGTGGAGCCAAGAACCTGCACCCCGGCCTGTGTGACCCCAGGCCCTCCCCCACCTTCAGACCTGGATGGAGCTTTTAGGGACCTCAAACCCCAAGCCACCACAGGAACATTCTACACTGCAGGAACGCTAGGCAGCAAGGCCCAAGACAACGGCTCTTGGCTTTCAAAGATGTGTCTATTGAACAAATTGCATAGATTAAATAATAATAAGTGCATTTTCTCATTTTAGTCATCAAAGACCTGCATAATAGTCAGCTTCTGCTCGGTGTGAACCCACTAGAATTTTGTGAGATGATATAATTTTAGCCTCAATCAAAGAAATGCTACCTTTCAGCTAGGCTGTGCCATGCTGGGTCGTGGGCAAAGGTATAATTTTTCTTGGGCTTTTGGCAATGTTGAAAATAGCCCAGTGAACCGTGTGCTTTCCGGTCTCGGTGGATCCCTGGAGAATTGCTCCTTCAAGTTTGGGAATTGCTGAAGGATTCCTTTCGAGGCTGCACCACAGCCCATAGGGCATGGGCCTGGCCCAAGCCCGCACAGACAGGCTGAGGCCCTGTAGAGCTGGACAGTCAGGCCACTGCATGTCCCGGGAGGCTCAGGAGGGAAAGGCAGAGACACGGAGTCCCTGCAAGCAGGTGGAGGGTCCCATGGGAAGGCAGACCTGAGTGGTCCCATGCCTCTGCCACCATGCCAGTCCCCCCAGGAGTGCCCGCCCTAGGTATGTGACCTCAAGCAAGTGACAGTTCTTCAGAGCCTCCAGTTCCCCGTTCAGCAAATAAGCAGTCCAGAGGCCAGCGTTGTCGTGTGCTGTCCTGAATGAATGCTGGTTCGAGTCCTGGCTGCTCCACTTTCTCAATACAGCTGCTGGCTAAGGCACCTGGGAAAGCAGCCGAAGATGGGCCAAGTGCTTGGGCCCCTGACATCCATGTGGAGTAGCTTCAAGCTACTGCCTTTGACCCAGCCTAGGCTGTTGCTGCCATCTGAGGGGTGAACCAGGGAATAGAAGATTCTCTCTCTCTCTCCTTCCCCGCAACCTCTCCACCTGCCTCTCCCTCTGTCACTCTGCCTTTCAAATAAATAAATGTTGTTAAAGAGGTCACTGGAAAAAAACAAAACCAGTCCTTTCACTCATGGTGACATATGATGTCACCCACTGAAGAAAGGAGAGTTCAGAGTCTTGAGGTAGGCCTGGCCTGTGTGCAGTGGTGCTATGGGGCATCTTGTGGCCTCCCCTCCAGCTTTGAGTCAGGCCACTCTGCAGGCTGGGAGTGGGGACCTGCTCCATGATCCTGACCAGGCACGTGGCCTCCTGGTGCTCTCTTCCTCCTCCTCCTCTCCTTGCCTCCTGTGCCTGCCTTGTCCCCTGTGCCTGCCTTGTCCCCTCTGGAAGGTGGGCATGGGGGTGGGGGGTGGTGCTGCACCTGCTGTTCCTTACCCCTCCTGTGGGCAGGCCCCGTGGCTTGGCTGCCAGTCGGCCTCCCACCTGCTGACTCTGGGCTCTCTCCCTTCAGGGCCGTGATGGGTTGCAAGGACAGATGGGCAGTCCAGGAGTCAGAGGGACACCGGTGAGTCTGGTACCATGGGATGGTAGCAGGGCAGGGCTAGCTCGGCTGCACGCCTCTGTTCTCACTGCCTCATGTTTCTTCTCTGCAGGGCGAAAAAGGATCTCAAGGAGAGAAGGTGCCTGTCCGAAGAGCCTGGTGACCAGTTCCTAGGGGGCAATAGTTAGCAAGGCCTGCAGCTTATAGGGAAAGCCCTGCATGTAGAGTTACCCAGACCCTGCATAGTGGAAGCTAGGGGGCATCCTAGTCTCGGTGCCACCCACCTGCTCCCCCAGTTCCAGGGTCCCTCAGTACTCCTCATACCTCCTAATTGCCGACCCAGGACTTAACTGGGATGGCAAGAGGCCAGAGAACTCCAAGGTCCCCAGTGGCAACTGCATTTTTCCAATGGGGGCAGAGTCAGAGGATGGGGCTTGGAAGTGAGTTGGGAGGGACCAACAGGGGGAAGGCCAAGATGGACTGGAGAGGCTGAGAGAGGAGGGCCTGGAAACCCCGCTGGGCCGGAGAGGTGAGGGTACGGCGGGCCAGAGAGGTGAGGCTACGGTGGGCCAGAGAGGTGAGGCTACGGCAGGCATGAGTCGCGACCATGAACACCTGCTCAGCCACAGCAAGGCTGCTGCTGGACAGTGACAGTGACCACAGCAGTAGCAGCAGCCACTGGGGTTTGTGGAGTCCTTGCTGGGTGGCAGCATCTCCTGTGCAGGACAAATTATGATTTTTGATTTTCCCCAACAAGGAGGCTGAGGTTCAGACAGGCCGGGTGGGTCGTCACGGGACGAGGCAAATCATGCAGCTAAACCCTGGCACCTCCCTCTTCTGTTCATCTCCTGGGGAGCTTGGGTCCCTGCCTCCCTCTCACAGGATGCCCTTGTCTCTTCAGGGTGAGCCAGGGGAGTGTTCCTGCCCTTACCGAGGTGAACCCGTCTTCTCTGGCATGCCGGTAAGTGATGCCCAGAGCCTGCCCCTCCCCACAGCAGGGGAAGTGAAGAGGGGAGGGGCGTGGCTTCCAGCTTCATCTGGTGTCCCCCACCCCCCTGTGCAAGGGTCCCAGCCAGCTGCCTCCCCACGCAGCCCTGTGCTTGGTGTATGGATGTTGCCTGTAACCTGTCCCCTTCTTTTGCAACCCCCCACCTTCCCTGACCTCTCACCCAGGGTGCTCCAGGACTTTGGATGGGCAACTCCTGGCAGCCGGGCCCGCAGGTGTGTCGCTTGTCTCCTTGCCTCCCCTCTTGTCTGCCAGCACCCTGAGGCTTGCCCACCTGTCACTGTGGCCCTCCGGCAATGGGGCACAGCTCTCCCTGCTCCCCCAGTTCTGATTCTGTCTTCTTTCTTTCTCTCTCTCTCTCAGGGTCCTCCAGGTGTTCCCGGACCACCAGGGCCACCTGGAGCACCTGGGCTACAGGTAAGGGGAGGAGAAAAGAATAAAGGGTTCAGGTTGCAGGAGGACCATGTGGGCATGGTGGCTGTTCTTCTGGTCCCAGCCATTCTCCTGAATGTCCCTGTCTTCTGGAATGGCGTGGAGGGGGCCCACTGGTCCCCACACTTGTTTTGAGGACGTCCCTGTTGTGTGATAACCCGGGCACCCCACCAGTGGATGCCAAGCCTGGGCTCCAGTCAGGTGTCAGGAAGCCAAGATCTGAATCAGATGAAATCCCTCACACAGCTCAAGGCTCTGCCGTTTGGAAGCAGTGTTTGACATTCGTTCACACAACATGTTTTTGCACATATGCTATTTTCCAAGCACTGGTTTGGGTGCTGGGGAGGACAGCATTGCACCAAAATAAAGCTCCATGCCCTCGTGGGGTTTGTGTTCCTGTAGGAGAGACAGGTGATCAACAAGATAGGAGGATAGGCTGTGGGACCTTGCAGGGAGCTGAGCAGGGGTTCGGGGGGGTGGGGTAGAGCATGGTGGGGGACAGGGAAAAAAAGTGCTGAAAGGGAGGTGACACTGCAATCAAAACTTTAAGAAAATGGGAGTGAACCGGTGATGGAGAGCAACTTGGATGGGGAAGCAGCAGGTGCCAAGGCCCGGAAGAGGCCTGAGATGGTGAGGGGAGAGCTTCCGGAGCTGGCATGGGTGTGTGTGGCCCTGTCATGGAGTATGCCTTCCATAGGCTGGCTCTGTGGTGCTGTGCCAGTTACTTACCCTCTCGGTGCATCTGGGCTCCTTAGTTAAGTGCGAGGACCTGGGAGGCCTGGCAGGAAGCTTGTGGACCTGGGGCTCTCAGCTCCTACACCAGGGATTCCCACCTGGGAAAGCAGAGCAGTCACATGGGAGCTTCTCACAGGCTCCTCCCCTGCCCCCAGGATCTCATGCATTTTGTCTTTCTCCTCTGCACCCCAGCACACCTCCCCTGCCTGGCCTGGGCATCTGCCCTTGGTGAGGGAGCCGCTATGGCTAAAGGGAAGCTCCACTAGGAACCTAATGAAGGAGATGGAGGGGTGGGATAGGAAACTGCTGTGGCTGATGTGAAGCTCTATCAGGAGCCCAATGTGGGAGTGGGGGGTTGGGAGGCATGGGGCGGGGGCAAAGTCGAACACCATTTCAAAGCACCCCATTCACAGGGAGAGCTGATGTGCTGTGACCCCTGCCAAGACAGACTTGGGGTATAAGGCAGAAAAGAGTGACTGCTGAGGCTGGCCCCAGGCATCAGTGTCCTCTTCTGGTACCAGTTCCTGAGCCCAAGCCCAGGCTGCCACCAGCTCCAGGTACAGGGGCACAGCACCGGTTCACCTAGTACCTGGTTATCTCATTTCAGCTCGATCCATTTCACAGATTCAGCAACCAAGGTCGTGGAGGTTAAGGAATCTGCTTGGGACTCCATAGCAGCTAGGCAGTTGGGTCTGGTGGTAATTGCAGGCTGCTCTCTGTAGTTCGATGGTAGAGCACTTGGCTCTGTGAGGTCAGGAAAGCATTACCAAGAACCAGGCTTGAATAGAGCAGAGCAGAGCAACCCTATGATTCACCCATAATAATTTAGGGGCCTAATAATAGTCGGCACGCAAGGCATGGTCCCTGTGCCAGGCACTGTTTTCAGCCCCGAAGGCTCCCACAGGAGGGTGGGGGGACGTTGGGGGAGCAGGGGGAGGGCTGGCTCTCGACGTGACCTGGGCCTGGAGGAGCCTCCCTGCACGAGGGAGAGAGGGTGGCTCAGGCGCAACGGGCCAAGGAGATCTCGTGCAGGGAGGAACATGCTGAGCAGCTGAGCGTTCACCCAGTGCGTACTTAATACACACTCCCTCCCGTGGGGGTGGTTCAAGTGGGAACTCCCACTGCCTGCCTCTCTGGAGGGTTTAATATGCAGATGCACACCGTGAATTGGCCAGGGCCACTGGGAAGTGCCCATAGCTGCTGTCTCCTGGAAGTTTGACCAAAAAACCTCCCTACCTGGCAGATAAGGAAATGGGTGGGGGGGGGAAGGCCTGGAGTTTTCTCTCCCCCAAATCATCTGCCCGACGTTAACTCACTGGGTCTGCAGCTGGGTGGGTCTAAGCCACAAACACTCACCTTGCTGTGCCCACTCATGTTCTGGGGATGTCTTTGGAGGAACAAGGTTGGATTTGTTGTTATGTGGTCATGAGAGGGGCTGGAAGCCCATGGTCCTTGTGGATCTCAGCTCTGTGCCTTGCTTTACTGGTAGCCTTTTGGTAGGTTGCTTACCCTCTCTGAGTGAGATAATACCACCAAGATAGTCACGGTGATTGCAGGAGAAAATACCGAAAGCTACTTAGTGCAGAGAGAAATAAGCTAACCGCATGGAAGGGGCCCCCTCCCCAATTCCCAGACCAACCTGCCCTGTGGGGAATGCATTCTCCTCTATTGGGGTCACTCCTGTTGACTGCACAAAGGGTCTGGAGGCTTCCAAGCTCAGAAGAGAGGCCAGGCTTGTGGCCTCCAGGGCTTGGCTGAGCAGGACAAGAGAAAGCGGTGGGAGGGATGACAACAAGGGAGCAGGTGACCGGCAGGCTGGAGAGAGGGACCCACTGATTGTTGTCTCTTCCTGGCTGCAGGGAGTGCCTGGGAATAACGGTCTACCAGGACAGCCCGGGCTCACGGCGGAGTTGGTGGGTATCCATCCATCTCCTTCCCCTGTCCAGGGGCTGAGCTGACCATGGTAGTGGTGGTGGTGAGGGTCCCTGCCCTTCCCTTCCCACAGCTGGGAGAAGCCCAGGTGACATGATGCTCCCCAAGGCTGCCCCTGATTGCCCATCCCTCACCTGCTGTCACCCCCACCTCTGTCTCTTGCAGGGGTCCCTCCCCATTGAGCAGCACCTCCTTAAGGTAAGAGGGTACAGGGAGGGGCTGGGAGCTGTGGGGACTGCCTCCTCGGGAGACTCATTGGAAGTGCTCACCTGCACACATCTTGCTTGCAGAGAAAGAGAGCGTGTGCAAGCAGCAGAGAGCTTGGCTGGTTGGCTGTTTGTAGGGAATGTGTGATCCACGCATTTGCCTTCAAGGGCCTAGCTGGTACCTGGCTCATAACAGACTCCCGGGCAACATTTGCTAAATGAGTGCCTAACTGAATCCTGAGAAGGTACCCACGTGGGGGGTGCTATTGGCAGAGGCCAACCCTGAGCCCAGCTGCAACAGCTGGCAGTGAGGCCCTGGAGCTCCAGGGTCAGACCAGGGCAGGACCCAAAGCAGAGTGGAGACAGTAGAGGGAAGTGGTGGGGGTTAGGATGGTGATGATGCGGCTGGGTGGGGCCCAGTAGGAGGCTGCAGCCCCTTGCTGGTCAATCCAGAAAGAAGCCAGGAAGGACATGAGAAGCTGTTCTAGTGGTGCAAGAAAGAGGACGCAAGGCCTGGTGGGAATCAACCTGGGCCAGTACCCACAAATGGTCATGCGGGACAGTCACTGGGTCTGGTTTCCTTCCTGTGGGGATGGGGGACACAGTTACTCCCTGGGCTGTCTGTTGGGCTCTGCACTCAGCATCCGCTGGGGCCCACCCAGGCCTTGATCTCCAGAGCACCCCCTCAGCTAGCACTGGTACCCGCTAGGACATCCCTTTGCCCCATCCCACTTGCATCAGGGAGCAGCCGGAACGGCAGGTAGGGTCAACGCCCCAGCCGTGATGAGAGTGGGGATTGCTGAGAACTTGTGACCAGCAAACCCCAACATTCTCCCTGTGGTTTCTTTCTGCCAGCTGCACCTCCCCCACCCTACTCCTGCCCCTGGGTGGTGACTGTGTGGCCACAAATCCAGGATTCAGCACTTCTTCTTCTTGGGACATTTCATTCTCTGATTTCTTAACCATGACCCCCACAGTTAGCTCCAAACGTGCACCGGGCAGATGTTGGGGATACCAGCCTAGGGGTTACTGACCAGCAGTCCCTGTCACCACAGTCCAGGCTGCTCCCAGCTCCCACCAACCCAGAGCAATGCTCCCATTTCTGTGTCAGCTTATTCCTCTGCACCGTACTCCCAAGATCCCTCCTGGCGCCTTGGCCACAGTTGTGAGGCCTAGCCTCCTGGTGCTGTGCCAACTCAGTGACCATGGCCATTGGGTGTTGCATCCAACAGTGAAGGTCAGAACAGGGGCTCCTTCCTGGAGGGGCCATGGACACCTCACTGGGCCACAGAGAGACTCCAAACCCACCAGTCCCCTGCAATTATTGGCAGGATTTTTCTAGCTCCTGGGGAGGGGACCTGTAGCTTTGATAAAGTCTCAGAGAGATCTGTGGCCTGAAGAAGATGAAAACCCCTGGATAGGAAGAGGCCCTTCCGTGTGGGGTCCAAACACCAAGACAGCCCAGGAGTGATGAGGTCTGCTGTGAGCCAAGGGTGCCTGGCAAGGGCCTGGCTCCTTCAGCAGCTGCTTCCTCTGCTCCGTGGGGCCGAGCAGCCAGGTTTGGAGCCAGCCTTCTCAGCCGCCACCCTCGTGCCTTGTCCTGGCAGTGGGTGCAGACTGCGGGAACAGCCGGGACAGATGGTCCCTCTGCAGGCCCCTCCGCCTCCGCCCACACGCCTGTCTGGAAAGTGGCTCCAGCTTGGCCCTGCTAGAGCTTCTTTCTGGAGACAACTCAAAGGCAATGATGGGGAGTGGGTCCCCTGAGGACGGAACAAAGCTGCTGCGGGGGTGCAGCTGGGGCGGAGGACAGCTGGCGGCCAGGGTGTCCCGGCCCCACTTGCTTGGAATGGGGTTTTCCCACTTGGCCCAGGCTGGCAGTCTTCCCCCTCCACCCCACCATCCTCCCCTTTGCCTCCTCAGAGCATCTGTGGGAACTGCGCCCAGGCCCAGGTGGCCCACTCGGTGTCCTTCCTGGAGAAAGGAGAGAAGGGGGACCAGGGCATCCCTGGTGTGCCAGGCCTGGACAACTGTGCCCGGGTAAGAGTTGCGCTTGGGGCAGGCCCTGAGTGTATGTGTGTATTGGGGGGGCTTCTTCTGGTTGCCTTACCTGATTGAGCCCCTGTTGTCCCCCACCCCCAGTGCTTCTCAGAACGGGAGAGACCCCGAGCCGAGGAGGCCAGGGTGAGTGGAGCCCCCTGGACCTGCCCCCTGGACCTGGGCTGTATGGGGGGTCCTGGCTGCCTGCTCTTATCACCTTGTTCCCTCTCCAGGGAGACAACGGTGAGGGAGAGCCCGGCTGTGCTGGGAGCCCCGGCCTACCTGGGCCTCCGGGACTGCCAGGCCAGAGAGGAGAAGAGGTAGGGGCAGGACCCTGCAAGGAGCTGGGGTTCCCCATCTGCCTCGGAGAAAACATCCGGGGGCTTGGGAGGCTCTCATAGCCTCCTGGGTCCAGTGCTCAGGGGCTGGGTGGGTGGGGGAGTGGGAGAGGACTATTCCTCCCCTAGGCCTAGTCACCTGCTCTGCCTGGGTCTCCTCTTCCAGGCCCATGTCTATCCTGTGGCTCACAGCTTAAATACTCTCTTTCTGGAGGCCCTCCTGGACTAGCTTCTTCAAAATGGAAGCCTCCAGCTCCAGAACCCCCAGGCTCCTCCCATATCCTGCATGTCTGCTTTGTTCACGGACACCCAGGGAGCACCCACTCTTAGCTCCTGTGCCCACCTTGCCCCAGAATGCAGGTGCTACAAGGCAGGTGCACTGCTAAGTACCCGACACCTGCACTGGTGCCTGGGTCCCAACAGCTGCTTTGTTGAAAACATCTGCTGGATGACCCAGGAGATGGAAGGACAGGCTGTGGAGTGGGTCTCTTTAGATAGCAGCTGGCTCCTGGTGCCTCTGGTTGAAATGGGCCAGCTGAGCAGGGAGGCAGGCCCCGGCATCTCCACACATTTCCCTTGATTTCCTTTGCAGGGTCCACCGGGCATGAGGGGCGCCCCGGGTCCTCCAGGCCCTATTGTAAGTACCTGCGATGCCCCAGATCATGGGAGCTGCTCTTGAATGGGGGCTGCTTAGCTCACAACCCTTCTGCTATTGTATACCCCAGCACACAGGCTGGGTAGAGAGGCAACTGGCACTGCCCATCCCTTCTCACCCTCTAGCCTATCCAGGGAACCTGTGCTTTCCCACCACCAGCCCAGGGAATGTTCTGGAGCTGCCCTGCTAAGGGGATGTCCTCAGATGCACAGATACTCTCCTGCTCCATGCTAGACCCCAGTGCAACACACACACACACACACACACAGCCCTTGGTCACAGTGGGGAGGAGCAGGGAGAAGCTTGTGGTGCTCTAGTCAGAACCCTGCCTAGTCCTGTGGCATCAGTCATGATGGAGGTCAGTCAGGGGCTAAGGTGGAGCAGACCTTCTTTGCTCTTGGGGCTGAAACCGGAGCAAGACTCCAACACTTGGGCCAGGAGTATTTACTCTAGAGTGTCCTGTGGTATTGATGTGATAAGAAATCAAAAGCGACCCGGAAGGATAGGAAGAACTGAAAATGTGTGGCTGGTGTGAGCTACCCACTTCCAGGGGGTCAGGAGGTGAGTGCTGGGGGTCAGAGGTAGGCAGGACACGGGAAGCAAAAAGAGAAAGAGGCTTTCTTCTATTCTCACCAAGATGCCAGGTGGATTCCGGAAGGACTTTCTGCTTCAGTGGTGGATTCGCATGTCCACCCATGGCTGGAGGAGCCAAAGGCAGGGGCAGCTGTCCTCTAGGCTGCGACCACACCTGAACAGTAGCCCCCCCGACACACACCCCTGCCACTGCCCATGTTCCTAGGCTGCCCCAGTGCGGTGTGACTGTGTGTATGAGATGTGACCTGCCTATTTTTCCCATCAGGGCCCCCCAGGTTTTCCTGGTGCTGTTGGCTCCCCCGGATTGCCTGTAAGAACCTACACTGGCCCCCACCCCCTCCCTGCCAGCCGGGTCTCTGTGCCTCGTGCTTGCCTTCCGCCTCCGTGTTTGTGTCACCCTTCGGGCACAGTAGCTAACGACACAGCTTCCCCAGGGGCCAGCGGCTTGGACGTCTTCCCGACTCCATCACAGCTCTCCCTCTGCTTCACCCCTGCTTTCTTCTTCTTCTCTCATCTGCCCTCTTTTACCCACCCCCCGCTTGTTCCCTGCCTTCTCTCCTGCACACAATCCCAGATCCCTCCCCCCTGGGTCCCCTGAGCTCTTTTACCTCCTTATTTTGAGCCGGTGCCTCCAGGAGCCCCCTTTATTCCTCCCTTCTCCCTTCTGCCTCCTGCTTTCTCCACCACCTGCCGTGTGGACGGAAGATTTGCTGAAAGTAGTTCTTGGGGCCCTGCCAGGTTCTGGCTCGGAGCCCAGTGGAGATGCCAAGGCCGTAGGGCTTCACATTGCAGGCTGGCACAGGTTGGCTGCCCTGCTGCTTGGCAGGGCTGTCCAGAGGCACCCCAGGGATTTAAAGGCAGCCGTGCCTACACCTTTCCCATCATCCTATAGGGAGCCCTCAGCTTCCTCCCCTGCCTCTCCTCTTCCTTGGCGCCTGTCCCAGTCTGCTCCAAGGCTGGGCACACAGTACCAGCTGGGTAGGTCTCTGGGTGTCGCGGGGCTCTGGTCCTTGGCCTGCTCCTTCTGCCAGGTGTCGTTAATTACTCTGCCATCATCATTGTCACAGGTGTGTTTAAGTCATCCCCCGTCCTCACTGTTGCTCCCTCCTGGGTCACGGAAACTAACCTACTGTTTGTCAGAGTTTGTGTTCCCTAGGGGCCTGACTCCTCTCCCCCCGAGCCTGGTGGTTAGCAGCTCAGGGAGCAGGGCCCCTCCTTGTCACAGTCCCATCTGTCCCCATGTCCTCATCTCTGGCCGGGGCCTTGTATGTTTCTGCTTGCTTGGGTGAAGGGGCCATCTGTCCGTCTAGCCATCTGTCTCATGTGGTGGCGAGCTCTGGGCGTTGTCTCCGGAGGGACCGAGGGAGAAGGGGGCAGAGAAGGTTGTGTTGTGAGGGGCTGATGGGCGGGGACTCCGGAGTTGAGCAACAGTAGTGTTGCTCAAGTGACAGGGAAGGTTCTGGAGGGAGCCCTCCTGTATCTCTTCCCGCATCTTTAAAATAAGGCAATTTGGGGTGGCTGGGAGGGGTGGACAGGTAAGTGCTGGGCTCTGGTGCCATCCTGCGTGTTAGCGGAGGGGGTCATCTGGGTGGCGTTCAGGAGGAGCACATGCAGTAGCACTGGTGAGGCCTACAGGTGACAGTCACCTGAATGTGTCCTCTGGGAGTCACCTCTCTCTGCCCCGGGACACAGCCTTTCTGCTGGGGTTTCCTCCTCCCGTAGTTGCCCTCCTCCACAGCGCAGCTCCTGGGTCACCCAGCCTGGGACCTAGGATGACAGCAGAGACCGCGGGCTGGGGGAAGTGCACTCTCTGGTGAATTCTCATGATTATTCTCTCCAAGGGCCTTCAAGGAGAGCGAGGCCTCAGGGGCTTGACGGGAGACAAGGGGGAACCGGTAAGAAGAGGTCTGCGGAGTTCTCATCAATGCCTCGTCCTGCCCCCTGACACCGCTGGCCCTGCCCCCTGGCTCCATCCCTGGGTCTTGGCTAGCATGGGGCTTGTCACCCAGTGCCAGGTCTTGGTCACCACCAAGAGAACCTGGGGTTGGGGGATAGGTCCCCATGTGGTGGCTGTCCTTGGGAGGGTGGGGGGACACCTGCCAGATGGCAGGTACAGATGTTCTGGCCTCCACCATCCTCTGTTCCTAGGGCGTGTGGAGCAGAGATGGTGGCGTGCTGACCCATCATGTTTGTATTTGCAGGGTCCTCCAGGACAACCTGGTTACCCAGGAGCCATGGGCCCCCCAGGACTGCCTGTGAGTAAAGGGAGACCCTGAATTGGAGTAGGGGTACTGGTGGGGTGGGCTAGTGGTCAGGGCAGGCCAGGCTGGGTATTTCTGAGCATGCTCCCCTCTGCCAGCATTTCAGCCCCTGCCTCTGCCCAGGGCCATCCCTGTAGCCCCCACTGCAGCCCCCTTAGCAATATAGCTTGGCTTGCCAACCTTCTCTCCCATTTTGCCTTGAGGGTGGGATAGATTCACAGAATACCTTTCAAGTCCCAGACCCAATAGTCCTGGAGAGCTGGGAGGGACCACCTTGCACAGGGAGCCCCCACCAGTGGGCGTGTCTCCACTTCCCACTGAGGGTCACAGTCACTCAGTACCACCTCCCCAGCTGGCTTCCTCAGGGCCATCTGCCTCCGAGTGCCAGTCTGGGTGCCAGTTGCAGTCTCCACCCCTCGCATTAGCACCGCGACAGGCGGGCCACAGGCTAATTCTGCTCTCTCTGCCGCTTGTCAGGGCATCAAGGGAGAGCGTGGCCACAGCGGGCCTGCGGGCGAGAAGGGGGAGCCGGTGAGTGGCAGCCCACAGCCCTGGGGATGGACGGGACAGAGGGAGGGAGGGCTTCAAAGGGAGCTGCTGCTGCTGCTGCACCCCCGCCTTGCACCCCACCACCCACACAGCGGCCAGGGAGAATTTTCTAGCAGCCTGTGAAGGCGGAATCCGTGACCCCTGCTGCTCCTGCCCCGAGTCACTCCAGCTGTGTCTCGGCAGAGCAGAGCATCCCAGCAGGCAGCCTGGGCACTGGAGGTGGACCAGTTAGCTGGCAGAGGAACCCCTCTTCCTCCTCTCCTCTCTCCTCCCACCGTCTTCCCCTCCTCTCTCTCTCCTCGCCCTCCTCCTCTCCCTGGGCCCCCTCCTCCTTCCCTTCCTCTCATCCCTCCTCCTTCACCTCCTCCCTCCCCTCCCTCTTCCTCCCTTCTTTCCCCTTTCTCCTCTTCCTCTTCTCCCTCCCTGCCCTTCCTCTTCTCCTTCCTCTTCCTCCCCCTCCTCTTTCCTTTCCAACCCTCTTTCCTCCTCCCCTTCCTCTCCCTCCTTCTCCCTCCTCCTTGTCTTCTCTCCCTATCCCCGCCCCCCCACCCATCAAGGCAAAGGCAGACAGACCCAACCCAGGGCCAGGGTGTGCCAGGTCCCTGGCCAGTCACGTCCAGGAGCCAGATGTGTTATCAGATGAGGAAGACACTGTGACTCCCATGTGGGACTCAAGGCAGTCAATGGAGGGACCTGGACTCAGCCGCGTCCGTCTGGTGACGCCTCAGACGTGGCAGCCGGCTCTGCCTGCCTCTCCACGCTCACCAACTTCAGCCAGGCCTCTGTGGGGGCATCAGAGCCCTTGGCATACATCAATCTAGGGACAGACAGGCTCTCAGGGACCACAGGGCACCAGGCTGCCCTCTGAAGCCACTACAGGCTCTGCCTTGAGGGAGGAAGATGTCAGAGGCATGAGCAAAAACCCAGCATGATGAGAGATAAGATCACGGAGACGGCTGAGCAGGTTAAGGGGCAGGAGCTTGTGCAGGCTGCCCCTCAGAGGAGGGTCCAGGAAGGCTTCTCTGCAGAGGTGGTTAGGTTGAGTTCTGCATGGAGGGTGCAAGGGAGCCCAGAGGAAGAGGCCATGGGCAGAGCACTGCGGGGACAGCCATCTACACACAGATGTGCTCACCTGGAAGAGGTACGGCATGGTGGGGTTCCCAGGTGCAGGGCAGAGCCGTGCAAAGTCCCTGTACCAAGTGTACAGGGAGCAGCGGGCAGACTGAGCAAGGCAGACAAGAAGGGAGGGGGAGGGCGAGGTGGGCAAGGGTGATTGGTGCCAAACGACAGGGCCCCTCAAAAAACCAGCACTGGTGGAGGGTATGCCCCTCTTGCTGTGAACACGGGAGCCATGGAAGGTTTGTGAGCAGGGCAGTGACATCATTGAGCTGTGCTCAGCAGCCACCTGCTGGCTGGCTGGAAGTGAGCCAGAAGGAGGGGGCAGGACCAGTTAGGAGGCCAGGGTTGGGCTGCTCAGGAATTAGAGGAAGGCCTGCCAGCTGATGGGGCCTCCATGGCACCTGCTCTGGACCTGTCCCCTGACCTGCCCCTGCCCTCTCCCCCTCTAGTCCTCATCTCCCCGAGTCAGAGCGACTGAGTCTGCTCCTTTGTATCCCTAGGGCCCACCAGGATCCGAAGGCCTACCTGGTCCCCAAGGCCCAGTGGTGAGTGAGAGGGAAGGGACAGGGTGAGTGTGAGGGCCCCCCAATACTGCCCTGGGTCTGGGGGGCAGGGAGGACTGAGTTCCACCTGTACTGTTCTCTGGGTGACAGGGACCCCGAGGAGAGCGTGGACCCCAAGGGACTTCAGGCCAGAAGGGCGACCAGGTGAGTGAGACTGAGACCTGGGCAGAGTCCCCCTCCCTGGTGGTCCCCAGCTCTGCGCCCACATCACGCCCAGGGCCTCGCCTGCCTGCCCTCTTGCACCTCCATGCACATCAAGGCCCTGTGGCTTGCAGCTGCTGCATCCTGCCACCCTCCCTCCCCTTCTCCCTTCCCTGGGCAGCCAGGCAGGGAGGGGTGACACAGCACTGTCCCTTGCTTCTCCCCCAGGGGTTTCAAGGCCAGCCAGGCTTTCCAGGACCACCGGTGAGTACAACCCCAGGCAGTCTCCATCTGATGTTGTCTCCTCAGGAAGGGCAGGCCTGACATGGCCAAGCTAAGCAAGGATGGGCCCAGGAAGGGACGAACAGCCTGGGTGGTCAGGCCCCATTCCAAGAGCCAGGACCTAGAGAGCAGACTCTCCTGGGTGGGCCCAGCGGACAGGCTGATGCTGTGTTCCGGGGGTGGGAAGCGGGAGGGATGTTTCTAGCAACTTCCAATGCCTTGTGATCATAATAGAGCAGGGTAGGAAGATGGCCCACCCCCATCCTAGCCCCTCTCTGATTCCTGCTGGCTGCTTTGTTGACACAGGGTCCCCCAGGATTCCCCGGCAAAGTTGGAGCCCCTGGCCCACCAGGTCCCCAAGCGGAGAAGGTGAGCAGCACCCTAGGTAATACCAAGCCACAGCCCCCATACTGGCCCCATCTCAGTGTCAGGCCTCGGGGAGGTCCAAGACTGGCTCCATGATACAAAACTTGGGAGGAGGGGCCTCCAGGCTGGCCCGTGGTCCTTGGAGCTGGGGTGGAGGGTGGAGGGATTGAGGATCTGGAGAAAAGCAGGCCTGAGACTAGAAACCGTGCAGGAGTGACTGTGGAGGTTGCCAGCTCCCTTCCCTTCCGTGGAGGATCCAAGCAGCTGCACTCCCTGCCTTCCCCTTACCCACGACATGCCAGCTCCTCAGGCTGGTGGATGCATAAGATCCCCAATGGCAGGCGGGTGCAGGTGGTAGGTTCTCCTCTGGACACCCGGTGGGGGCTGCCCTTGGCTAGGGCTGTGCTGACCCCTCCTGGTGCATGGTGGCATTGCACTTCCCCCACAGCCTTCCCCTTTGGCAAGGTCTAAAGTTGGATCCTTTCCCCTCTGCCACTCCACAGCCTCTGACCCAGGACAGCCACCCTCTTCCCACTGGGGGAATAAAGCAGAACCCTCCTCCCCTAGCCTCTATTCTCTCTCCTCCAGTGTTCCCTCCCTCACTCTTCCACCTTAAACTTTCTGTGGCTCTCTAGTGCCTATAGCATGACTTTTCAGACTTTGTATTGTGGTTCCTGAGCCTTTTATTTTGTTCTGTTTTTAAGTATTTATTTATTTGAAAGGCAAAGTTGCAGAGAGGGAGAGACACATATTGATCTTCCATCCACTGAGTCACTTCCCAGGTGGTCACTATGGCTGGGGTGGACCAGGACAAAGCCAGAAGCCAGGAGCTTAATCTAGGTCTTTCATGTAAGTGCTGGGGCCCAAGCACTTGGATCATTCTCTGCTGCTTTCCCAGGCACATTAGCAGGGAACTTGATCAGAAGTGGAGCTGCCAGGACTCGAACCAGTGCCCACCTGGCATGCCAATGTCTCTAGGGTGGCAAGTTACGCCATAATGTCAGCCCCACCCCTTGAACCTTTTTTCTTGGAAGAGAGAAAAGGAAGGAAGAGAGAAAGAGAAAGGAAATGTTTACTTTCTTGAAAGGCAGAGTTATAGAGAGGTAGTGTTCACCTGCTGGCTCATTCCCCAAGGCCACAGTAGCCTGGGCCAGATTCGCACAAAACCTCAGTCCATCTGACAGATGCAGGAACAGCTGCTCTGGCTATGACAGGTTAGGGGTCCTGGAGTCCTACCCCCTGGTCTCCACTTCCCGTGTCCAGCTCCAAGGCCCCTGCTGAGAAAGACTTGGGACGCAATGAAGCACAGCCAGGAAACACGGCATTCAGGGCCCTGCCTGGGCAAGGCTCCGACTCCAGCCTCCTCACCTACCCTGCCTGTCACATGGTCTCCAACACCCAGGCCAGGCACATGGCCACTTCCAAATCTTGCCTTGCTGTTGGGTTCCCTTGGGCGCCTCCTTTTCTCCTGCACCTGTCCAAGCGCAGGCATCCTTCAGAGTCTAGCATCTTCCCTGACCCTAGCCAGAGTGCCAGCTTGTTCTGCTGCCCTCCCGCTGCACATGGACTATAACCACGAACTGTGGCATTGTCTTTGGTCTCGGTCATGGTGAGACTGCAAGTCCCAAGGACAGGCACCATCCTACCTTTTGTCCCAGGGGCTCTTGCCCACACACCTGTGGGGACCCCTGAGAACTGGTCATGTGCTTGCAGCTCAACGCATGCCTTCTGAGCAGTGCTGGACCAACTCCTGGCCCACTCTGATGAGGATACTGGCTCAGGTCTCTGTGCCTTCCCGCAGAGAGCAGGGGCAAGGTGGGGGAACACCCTAGCGCAGACGTCCGTGTAGGCTGATTATCCTAACATGCAGGGTTTCCAGGACCCTTGGCCCAGGGCCTGGTCTTCAGAGAGAGAGGCCAGGCCCTACTGACTTTACTGGGTTTGGCTTTCAGGGCAGCGAAGGGATGCGAGGCCCGTCGGGCATGCCTGGTTCACCTGGGCCACCAGGACCTCCCGGGATCCAGGTGAGTGTGGGATCCCAATGGGCATGTGATGTGTGTCATGCAGGTGTGTGTATACATGCATGTGTATGCGTGTGCAAGGCAGGGGCAGGAGCTGGGTGAGGGGTGACATTGAGGGGCAGCCCAGTGCAATCTGTGGAACTGCTGCTTTTCTGTCCCCAGGGACCTGCTGGCCTGGATGGCCTGGACGGGAAGGATGGCAAGCCTGGCCTGAGGGTGAGATGGTGGGCCCTGGAGGGCCAGCAACCCTCTCTGCTTCCTTCTCCAAAAGCAGACATCAGAGGAAGGAAACCAAAGTGTCCCCTGGCCCCATGGAGGGGCACCCATGCCTTCCCCTGATCTGTCCTCGCTCTTCCCCAGCCACCCTTGTTCCCATAGTGGCCCTGAGCAGGCTGGGCAAGTGGGCTTTCCACACTAACCAAGTGACAAGACTGAGTTTCCATCAGATCCTTGGGCAACTGAAGACCAGGCTGGGTTTTGGGAAGAATCCAATTACAGATGTGGAGGCCTAGAGCCAGTCCTGACTCCTTGGGTCTCATCTTGCCAGGGAATCTGAAAAGAGTAGAGGCCTAGCAAGGGCAGGGTATGAAGGTCAATGTCCTTAGCTACCCTGAGAAGTAAGTAAATAAGTAAGTAAGGAGAGTAAGTAAGTAAGGGGACAGCCCGGCCCACTGAGCCAGCTGGGAGGAGCTAGACAAAGGAAGAGATCGGTGGGGAAGGAGTCAGTGCAGGCTGTGAACTAAACTCCTGACTGAGTGCCATTGCTTTCTTTCCCTAGGGAGAGCCCGGCCCTGCTGGTTCCCCCGGACTCATGGGACCCCCAGTAAGTTAAACTGAAAAAGGACCAAGAATCTGGGAGGCTTCCAGCTGAACAACCACTGCCTGGGGAATGGGGTGTGGACGAAACCCAGACCAGACTGGAGAGAGGAGGCACAGACAGGGGGCCAGGCTGGGGTGAGGGGCTTGACCTCACTCTGTTTTTCCTTCTCCAGGGATTCAAAGGGAAACCTGGACATCCCGGCCTCCCTGGACCTAAGGTAAAGCCTGGAGACGTGGGCCAAGCAGTTATTTTTTATTTTATTATTATTTTAAAATCTGCTCTCTTTGTGACCTGAGCCAAGGCACACAGCGTGGAACTGGCCTGGGTGAAGCCACTGACCTTTGTTTGGGCTGCTGTCATCGCAGCCAGGCGACTGGAGGCCGCCAGGCCTGGCACACTGGCTCACCAGCTCAGAGAGCGTCTGGCCAAGGCCAGGGCAGATGGGGCAGACTTGCATTGGGAGAACCAAGTGGAAATGTAGTGAGCTTCGCTGCCTCTCTCTCTTCTAGGGTGACTGCGGCAAACCAGGTCCCCCTGGCAGCAGCGGCCGTCCCGGTGCCGAGGTACACAGGCTGCTTGGGGCTGCCCTGGTCCTGCTAGGTCTCAGACGCAGCTGCTTCCTCCTGCTAGCTGGCCAAGCAGCTGCATTCTCTCCTGGGCCTCCTAGCAGGAACTTTCCACACTGCACACCTTGAACCCCGCCCAGCTCCCCTGGCCAATGGTGTTTGTTCCCACCTGCCCTGCCCAGTTCTCTTTAGTGGAGCAGCCACGAGTGAGCAAGAGGCTCCATTTTTATTTCATTTCTTCCCTTTTCTCTGGCTCCTGCAGGGTGAGCCAGGTGCTATGGGACCCCAAGGAAGACCCGGACCCCCTGGCCACGTTGTGAGTGAAGCTGTTCTGGTGGCTGCCGTTGGTGGGGTGGGCTGGTGGGTGATCTCCTAACAGTGCTCATAGGAGCTGCCCTCACCACACAGAGCTAGAAGGAGTTCAGGGTCACTCAGCTGAGTAGTCGCCCATGGCCCTCACCACTTCCTGCATCCTGGGCACGTTGGCGTCCACTTCTCAGATGAAGGTCATGCAGTCAACAGGTGGCCACTGAGCACCTGCTTTACCCCAGGCCCTGTTCCACACATGGGGGTAACCACAGCCAGCAAGGTAGACAAGGGCCCCTGCTGTCTCTGAGCTCCCGTGCAAGCACAACAAATCCCCGCAAGCACATCAGGCAGTGGTGAGATGTGGCAGGGAGGGGCTGGGAAGTAACTTTAGGGAATGGTTGCTGTGGGAGAAGTGGCGTTTGAGCTGAGGATGGAATGAAAGAAGCAGCCAGGGACTGAGCACTGTGTTGGGAGGTGAAGGGATGGGAGGAGAGTCCCAGGCCAAAGGGCCACGCAGATGTGGAAAGGCTCAGGCAGCTTGGGAATGTTCGGCTGTCTGAGGGACCCCATGATGAGGCTCAGCATGGCTCAGATGTGGGTGGGGAGGGGAAGCCAAGCTCAGAAAAGACCACGGTGTGGCCAGCTGTGGAGGCGGGGTGGCTAGAAGTGTGGAGGCGGAAGCCACAGGCGGGGGCTGTAGCGAAAAGGAGAGGCCAGGACAGATCTGCAATGCATCAGGCGGAGGAGGACTTGCTGGGCCCTGGACTGGGTGTGGATGGGGCAGAGGGGTAGGGAGAGAGGAAGCAGGTCGAGGCCTGCGTTTGCCTTGGACCTCCAGGTGCATAAGGACGCGTGTGTCCTGAGGTCAGGGGGGCGGAGAGGATGGCTAGCAAGCAATAATGAGTTTCCCACCTACTATCCTCTGCAGTAACAGACATGACTGCCACTTGACGCCTTTGATCGTGGGCGGGTCTGACCCCTGAGCTCTTCCCTTCTCCCCCTACTGTGTGACCGGCCCAGTACTGGGCAGTCTCCTCTCAGGAGACTTAAAGGTGAATAGGATAGCAGCCTTGGCTTTTAGATCCTTCCATCTGGGAGTGCGGAGGGAAGTGCTCTAAGAGACACCAGAGTGTCCTGGGGTCAGAGAGGGTGACACTGTGAGCAGGGAGGTGGCATCTGAACTGTGGCTCCCAGACAAAGATGTGGCCATTGCAATGGAGGAGGACATGTCAGGTGCAGTCCAAGGTCAGCAGGGACTGGCACTCCTCGGGGGGGCAGGGACTGCCTGCCTGCAGGGTCCACATGAGTGCTGTGACTGGTGCTGGGTTCCTGCAGGAAGCAGGGACCAGGGGGTAGGGCGATGGTAGCTAACGTTGTCAGACCTTTGCCCTTGGCACGTGACCTTGGGCTGTGATTGGGATGCCCTACACACAGGCTGAGGGGGCAGGCCTCAGCTCTGGCCACTGGTCTGGCAACAGCTCCAATGCAACAGCTGAAGGCAGAGGGAGGGTTTTAGGAAGCAAATGGAGCAGGCAACTTTAGAGTGCTGCCCTGCCATTGCTGGAGCCACTGCCCCCCCCGGGGGGGGGGGCTGATGCTTAGGGCCCAACTCCAGCCCACTGACTGTACACTCTCTCTAGGGACCTCCGGGACCTCCAGGCCAGCCTGGTCCAGCTGGAATATCTGCAATGGTGAGTGATAGCTCCCACCCTGCTGCCTCCCAGGTGCTTGGCCCTGCTGCGGTGAGAGGTGCAGAGCAGGAGGTCTCCGCTGCCTCCTTCCCTGGCATACCCTCACCTGGCTCCAAAGAATTCTCCTTCTAAGTCACCCTGGGCTCTTGCTGGGAGTTCAGGCAGGACCGCCTCCTCTTGTGGGGCCTAGAAGCTGATAGGGGATGTGGGCCCTTGCACACGGTGATGGGGTGTCCATCCTCCCCTCTACTGTTCTTCATTACTACCTCCTGTTTTCCAGGGCCTGAAAGGAGACCGGGGAGCCACTGGAGAAAGGGGCCTCATGGGCCTCCCAGGCCAGCCTGGCCCACCTGGACACCCTGGGCCCCCGGTAAGATTCCACATCTGACGGTCACAGCCCAGTGCAGAGGGTCAGGTGGCTTTGCCAGTTAAGCCAGGGCAGAAGGGTCACATATATGGAAAGTGAGGCCCTACGAGCCCAGGCTGGACGCTCACAGCAATGCTGACCATCCCCAAGTGAGGGCTAAGCACCTGGGGGGCTCAGTGCGTGACAGGCATCTCATCTGGACCTGGGTCCCAACGCCAGCTAAGAGCCCAAGCTGTGCCCGGTTAACAGGAATCAGCAAGGCTACTGGATTGCCCAGAGTCACCTGGCTGGCGGGTGGAAGAGCTGTGGCTCCATCCCCAGCTGCCCAACTCCAGGACTTGGGGCCTTAGCCTCTCTTTCCAAAGTTCCTGGCAGGCAAACTCCCTCAGCTGGAACCCACTGCCAGTGTGAGGGATACAAAGTCTCCTGGGGACAGTCGAGGCAGGGAGCCAGGCCTCTCAGTGCCCACTCTGGCCTGATTTCCACCAATGAAGGCTTCTGGGAAGCTGTAGTAGTGCCCTCAGTTGGTGGCCTGGGAGTGGGGTAGTAGACTCCAGCTTGTGTGCTAGGGGGCCTGTGGGCCCATTTTCCCAGAAGAGCTGATCTCACAGCTGCCACTCACTGATGCTGTGTGCAGTTCCCTCTGTCCCTGCCTCCCTCCTCACCTGCGTGCTCAGGACTCAGGCAGTCTGTTCTTCCCATCTAGAATTCAAGGGGATGAGCCAGAGCAGCAGAGAGTGGTCACTGTGGGCTGGAGTGGGGAGTAGGGGGCACAGAGGGCCACAGGGTGAGGGCTGGAGGGTTGTGGCTCCGGGACAGAGCAGGCACTGGACACGTCCTGCAGGCTAAGTGAGGCCAGGCTGGTTGGAACTCATCACATCTTCTGGCTCTCTCTCTCTTCTCTCCAGGGCGAGCCTGGGACAGATGGTGCGGATGGCAAAGAGGTTTGTGTGTGCTGGGCTCCTCCCTGCCTCCTCCTTCATTTAGAATCCGTTCCTGTCCAGGTTATAGACTGAAGCTGCTAACCCTTGCCGCTCTGGGAGAGGGGTGGGCTGAAGTCAGGCTTGCCTCTCGCTGCTCTCAGGGTTTGACCTGACTCACAAGAACTAATAATGATACTGAACTGTGAGCACTGGCCCTTCTCAGGCCCCGCAGGATGCTGCATACTGGCCACCTGCTCCTGACTCCACTCCTTATCTGGAAGGAGCGACCCAGCCAGTGTGACCCACCAGATCGTGCCAGGGGACAGCATTCTCCCTGCCACCTGCCAGCCCTGCTGCGGGCAAGGAAGGCTACTGTTCTCTCAGGGAGGCCTGCTGGGCCCGGCCTGGGGACCTGAGACTGAGAGGGGAGGTGGCCTGTTTAGTGCATCAAGCTCCCTAAGAAGCCTGGGAGATGCTCTCCACACTTGACCTCTGACCTGTTCTTTTTTCTAGGGACCCCCTGGAAAACAGGGACTCTATGGACCCCCTGGTCCTAAGGTGAGTAGGCAATGGCTGTGTCTGGGAGAAGCCCAAAGCCAAGTCCTGGCTTTCAGCACCGAGACGAGACTCAGAGAGGACTGGGCGAAGTTGACAGGACTTCTCCCAGGGGGGCCCATCCAGGGTTCTTAGCTGGGGTCAGGAGCGTTGGCCTCACCAGTTGACAGAGAGAAAGAGAGAGAGGGGGATATCTTTTATCTGCTGGTGTACTCCCCAAATGGCCACAATGGCTGTAGCTGGTCCAGGTCAAAGCCAGGAGCCAGGAGCTCCATGAAGGTCCCCCATGTGGGTGGCATGGGCCCAAGTATACCCCTCACTTTTTGCTACTCCAGCATAGCAGGGAGCTAGGTGGGAAGTACAGCAGTGCAGGCTGGAACTAAGGCTCACGTGGGAGCTGGCATTGTTAGTGGATTAAACCGCTGAACCACATTACTGGTTGCTCATTCACGGCTTTCGTTTTACGACAGCCACTCTTGCTCATGTTCCGAGCCTTGAGTGAATGGAGCTCCCTCCACTCTCATTAGAGGATGGCAGATTTCAGAGTTGCAGAGGAAATGTGGCAGTGTGGGGTGGGAGGAAGGCTGCACTAGTCTAGCAAGCCTGGGCAGTGGCAGGCTGTGCAGAGCATGTCACCTGACAAGGAGGAACACTGGGCCCGAGTGAGGGTACAGGGTGATTTAGGCAGGGAGACCTAGGACTGTATGGTCACAGCGCCATCCAAGAGTAATGACCAAGGAGGTATGGATGGAGGTGGAGGGACAGGGAGGCAAGACTGAGGAGCCATGTCATAAAAGGTCTCAAATGCCTGGCCAGGGAATGAGGCTTTTACACTGAGGCCCAGGATCTCCAAGTGGGGTAACATGGTGGATGACGGAAGGACCAATGTAGAGGTTTAGTGACCAGTAGAATGCTGGGGCCACAGTCTTAGAGACAGCTGGGGGATCTGCAGGGCGTGGGCAGGAAGGGGCAGCTGAGAGGGAAAGTGGCCTCGAGGAGGCCGTGAAGTGGCCTTGGTTGTACGTACTAATGCTAAACTGTGACTTCCATCCCTACAGGGTGATCCAGGACCCGCTGGACAGAAAGGCCAAGCAGGAGAGAAGGGACGAGCTGGCATGCCTGGTGGGCCTGGCAAGAGCGGCTCCATGGGGCCCGTGGGACCACCAGGGCCTGCGGGTGAGAGAGGCCACCCTGGGTCTCCAGGACCAGCCGGGAGCCCTGGGCTGCCCGGCGTGCCTGGATCCATGGTAAGAGAGAAGACTGGTAGCCACGGGTGCTGCCCCAAACAGCTACGGGTGACCTAAGGTGGCAGGGGTTGGGAGGGTCACTTTAGAAGCTGCTGCTGGCATTCAGGGCGGGGGGTTAAAGGGCAGAGCAAAATGTGTGACACCATTGCGGGCCATGAAGACCTCAGGCTTTCCCCGAACCTTGGCCTCCCCCTTCCAAGCTTTGCTTTCATCTAGTCTGTTCCCAGAAGCGAGGGGCCAGGCTCGGAAGGATCCTTGAGGCAGGTTATCTGCTCTTCCTCCCCCAGGGAGACATGGTGAATTACGACGAAATCAAGAGGTTCATCAGACAAGAGATTGTGAAAATGCTTGATGGTAATTGGCTGAGCCGACTGGGAGGCTGTGGTGCTGGCAGCCTCCCTCCCCCGACAAACACACACACATATCCAGCCCTGGCCTTCTCTTCTTCTTCCTCTTCATAAAGTTATGGCCCCCACCTCCACCCCCTCCCCCTCACACGCGCAGGAGTTGACGGGCGCGTGTTTAATTATCCATCACACCTTCCCTGCCACCTGTGCGGTTCCAAGATGAAACCATTCCCTCTTTCCCTCCCTAAACCCCTACTTGAGCAAAAGAGGCAGACAGGAAAATTGGTCTCAAACGAGTTGGCGTGAAGCAAAGACTAAAGAGAGGGCCCAGCAGCAGCAGCTGTGAGCTGCCTGGGGTGGTTTAAGCTTTTCCCCTTGCCCATCTGACAGTGATGCGTTAGGGGCTGGTGGGGGTGGGAAGTATGGATGCTGTCTCCCAGGGGCTGGGCTGCTTGCTTGGAAGGCAGACCCTGAATGCCAAGGACCTGAGCCTGGTCCTGAAGCCAGCAGTGAGCTGGTGGAGCCTGGGGCAGAAGACACGGGTCGAGGTCAGGTCTCTGCATCTCAGCTTGGTGGGAAGGCCAGTGGAGGCCAGGGCAGGGCCTCCCCCTGCTTCCTGTGAGGAGACTGATCCTCACATTCCTTGCTCCCATTCCCTCTAAAGAAAGGCTGCGCCCTGGCTGAACCCCAGGGGCACCCCGCGTGCCCCATCCTTGTCGTTTCTTACAGAGAGGATGGCTTACTACACCTCCAGACTGCAGTTCCCCATGGAGGTGGTGGCAGCTCCCGGCCGGCCAGGGCCCCCCGGAAAGGACGGTGCCCCAGGCCGGCCAGGCGCCCCAGGATCCCCCGGGCTTCCCGGGCAGATTGGCAGAGAAGGACGACAGGGCCTGCCAGGAATGAGAGGTAGCTCGGCCCGCCTGAGCTGGCCACAGCTGGGTCTGTTGTGAATACGAAGCTCTGTGTGTGTGTGCATGCAGTTGCATGTGTATACATGTGTGCATGTGTACACGTGTGTGTGTGACCCAAGTAGCCTGGCTGGCTGTGCCATATGTCCACTGAAACTGCTTTCTTTTGTTCCAGGATTGCCAGGGACCAAAGGTGAAAAGGGAGACATTGGTGTTGGCATTGCGGGAGAAAATGGCCTGCCAGGCCCTCCAGGTATGAAAAAGAACTTGGCACCCCAGAATGTGGTTGGGTGTGGCTGGTGACCAGCCCTACCGACTCCGCATTTACAATGACCTTGCCCAAGTACAAGATTCCCTGCTGGTGCGGGGGTGGGAGGACATGGAAGGCACAGTTCCCATCTCTGAATCTTAGGTGGGGCCAGCCCGGACGCAGTGGGGAGACATTGCCCGCGTGAGCCTGGCACATTTTGATGGCTGTATAACTGTGAAGGGGCCCCCTAGCCACCCAGGGTGTGCTCTGATGCACGCCTCACTGCTGCATGGCTTGAAAAGGAAAGACTAGAACCTACCCCCTTAAGCCCACCCCAGGGCTCTGACCCAGTTCCACCACGTTCCAGGCGCGTGTGCTCTCTTAGTCCTAGGCTTCAGCTGCAAGATGCGGCAACAATTCCTTGCTCAGGGGAGTTGTGCAGAGCTCTCCCTCAAACCAGCCAGTGGGGTAGTACTGTTGCTAAGTCCTCGTTAATGTTAGGTGCCCGCGAGAATGCATAAGCGGGGAGCTGGGCATCACTCGGCGACTTCGGTCTCCCACATCGCCATCTCCTCCGAGGACTGGACACCCCTGATTTTCCTTTTGTGTCTCTTGTCTCCCCAGGTCCTCAAGGACCTCCAGGATATGGCAAGATGGGTGCCACAGGACCGATGGGCCAGCAGGGCATTCCTGGCGTCCCTGGCCCCCCAGGTCCCATGGGCCAGCCAGGCAAGGCAGGCCACTGTAACCCCTCGGACTGCTTTGGTGCCATGCCCATGGAGCAGCAGTACCCACCCATGAAAAACATGAAGGGGCCTTTTGGCTGAAAGTGCCGCCTAGCGTGGGATGAAGGACTCCCGGACTCTCAGATGGGTTGTGAATGTTTCGTCGTCATTGTTGTTTCTAATGGCTGTTAATATTTTTTTAAAGACAATAAATAAAGAAACCAAAGAGTCTGAAAGCTCCAGCGGGGAGCCTCTGCTTCACCTCACTGTCCTCTTGTTCTCACTGGAGGCCCTGTGTTGTCCAGGGGAATTGCAGCAGCTGGTGTACAGGGCTCAGCTGCCCTCACCAGAAGCTTCTGCTGCATCCCTTGGGACTTCCTGTGTTGTCTTCCATGGCACTCTTCTCTCCACTCTGAGGCTCAGTCTCTCCTCCTGAGTGGACCAGAAGTGGGTCTGAGGGGCTGGCGTTGTGGCACATTACATTAAGCCACTGTCTGCAAAGCTGGCAGCCCATGTGGGAGTGCCAGTTCCAGTCCTGGCTGTTCTGCTTCCAGTCCAGCTTCCTGGTAATGCACCTAGGAAGGTAGTGGAAGATGGCCCGCGTGCCTCACTTGAGTCCCTGCACCCGCGTGGGAAACCCAGAAGAAGTTCCTGATTCTTGGCTTTGGTCTGGCCAAGACCTGGCTTTATAGCCATTTGGGAGTGAGCTGGTGAATGAAAGATCGCTTCCTCCTCCTCCTCTTCCTCCTCCTCCTCCTCTTCCTCCTCTCCTCTCCCTGTTGCTCTGCTTTTCATATACATAAGTGAATAAATTTAAAAAAACAAAAACCTACGGATTGAAAGACTGCACTTGCAGTTCCTAAAGGCCTCTCCCTCTGTGCTGCCCCACCCACGTTCCTGATGCTCCGTGGCTCTACTCATCCCCTCCCACTTTCCAGCACGAGGGTGTGCCTGTGTGCCTGGAAGCCCCTGTAAGAAGGCAGGCTCCTTGACGCTGCAGTAATCCTGCCACTAGAGGACTAAGACTGCAAACCCGAGGACAGACGGCCACAGCCCCACCTGGGCGGCCAGGAAACGCTTCCTGCCCGGTCAGCAGCTCTCCACCAGCCACCTCAGGCCTGCGAACGGCACCTTCTGCTCTTCCATGCCATCCTAGTGCATGGGGTGCGATGGGGGCGGGGCACTTCCTGCATGTCTTAGCCAGATCTTCAGAAACAGGCTGGCAGTACCAGTGCAAAGGAGGCCACGGGCGAGACACGCCCAGCCCAGAGCTCCAGTCTCCCACAAGCGTAATGATTGAGCCAACATCTCCTATACCCTGTGGGGAAAGTTGGGGGCGGGGAGTTGAACAGCACAAGCCATTCTCTCTCACCCACAAGTGTCTTCCTTCTCAGATGGCCTGCACAGGTGGTCCTGTCTCCCTTTGGGAAAGCAACTGGGCACACCAGGGGGTTACCATAGAAAGCTTTTTCAGACTGGCCCTAACTTTCTAGAAGTCTTCCACCACCCCAACCCACCCCAAGATGGATACACTTCAAAGGGATCCCACATCAGGTTTAAAAATATACCCAAAGTCTAGATGCTTATACAAACTGCCCAAGGTCTTGAGATCGCCTGTCACAGCTCTCTAAACCTGGCAATTCCAGCCCATTGCTAAAAATGGCCTCCTTTGCTTGGGTCCCTGAACACCAGCAAGGCCAGCCTCCGGGCAGCTTCTCGGGAGCTTTGCCCTAGTTCTTTCCTGCCAGAAGTAGAGGTGTGCCCACATCCTCGGGCTCCCAGGCATGCCTGAGGGTCACCCATGACGATCACCGGAAATGTTCGGTCAACCCTGGTTCTCACAGAAAACATTAAAAAGCAAATGCATTATCTTCGCATTGAAGTGCAGTCAGGGTTTGGACAGTGCATGTGGACAGATGTTAAAGCACTCCCATTGGAAGGCTAGCCTCCGCTTCCAGGCAGGCCGTGGAGTGCTGCTGGCTCGCCTGCCTCATGTGCAGGAGCACTCTGCCGCCCGGAGAGAGGGAGTGAAAGAAAGCAAGAAGCGGCTGTCATATGGAGCAGGTGGGCTTTGAAGGCCAGGGGGCAACTGGCCATGGAGAAACGTCACCCGCCTGCCGTGGGGAGGGTCACCAGGGAATGGATCCTTCCAGGCTAAACTATGCTTCATTCACTTCCCTTCCTGACTCAAACGTGCACTCCTCTGGGGGAATTCAACGACAGGCTGTGTTTCAGCTCTCATGATTTGAGTGCTCATTTCCCTGGAGCTGGAAATTGCTGTATTTTCTTGGACCATGAAGAACCAGATGGAAAGTTGAATTTTATAGTCTCTTCTTCCGTGGTCAGCAAAAAAAAAAAAAAAAAAAAAAAACACAAAAACTGCGGCTCTTGCTCATCAGCCTAGGAGCTGGTAAGCCAGAGGGAAAGGGGGGCATTGCCGCCCACTCCTCTTGGGCAACAATTTTCACGCTCCCACCACGCCGTCCTCCTGTCATTATTCCGCAGTCTATGCCAGGCTTTTAAGGCAACACACAGGTGATTTAGATGGGCAGAGTCCTTTCTCTCCCTTGTGCCACAAACCATGTGCTAAGCTGGGGGAATCCAGACAGACACGGTCCCCGCCCCCACAGGATCTACAGGTGAAGCAGGCAGTTCCACCAGTGATTCCAATGAAGTGGGAGGAAGGGACAGTTCACAGGTGCACAGCTGGGAGATCCAGCTGTGTCTAGACAGCAATCGATCCGGGCAGAGGGAACAGCATGTACCAAGGGCTAGAGATGATTGGGCACAGCAGGCTGAGTGGCAGGACACAGGGCAGTGGGGCTGGATTGGGGAACATGAACGGGAGAGGCTCAGTGGGAGGCTCCTGGCAGATTTTACACCGAGGTGTGTGGAGTCAGTTTCGCCTAAGGAGAGCTCAGCAGCGGTCAGGGCGCAGGATGGAGCAGAAAGCCTTTTGAGAAATCTCCTGCTCTGTGAAATGGAAAAAAAAAAAAAACGCCACTTGCATATTTATAAGAGGAAAATCCAAAATGTGATGCCTTCTGGAATTCAAATCTCCTTTGTCATAATATTTTCCCCTGCCACCCAGCTATTCAACAGAATCTAATTAGTCTTTCTTCACACATGGTCTCTTAACCCCCTCTGTGACCAGAGCTTTCTGGCCGGAAGAGACGATACAGAGTCTGCCTCAATGCACTCCCCTGTTGACCTGACAACAGAAGGGGCGTGTGGCCAAATCACCATGTCAGTGGTCTTTATGGAAATGTCAGAGATCACCTCCACCCCATTTTGAATTTCAGCACTAGGTCTAGTTGGAATCAAAGAGAATCAACTCCACAGTAACTAGGGGGATGTTGGTATTCTTTGTCAGGAAGTCAGACGCGAGGGAGCTTGGTTCCAAGCCATGAAGCTGCGGGCTGTGTCTCTAGGGGAGTTGGTATTTTCCAGTGGATGGGCCCGGTGGCCTCCTCTCAAAAAGGTCAAATCCAGGGCTGCCACAAATCCAGGAACAATGCTCTCCAAAGGGCTGGGGTCCAAGTTCACCCCATTTTGGCTGAAATGGAAATAACAACAGGCCTCTCCCGCCCACCTCTGTCTGTCTCAGGTAGCTGAGATTGAGAAAAACACTTGATTGTTTGTTCAGTCTTTGGAAGTTTCTGATCTCTTGCAGCCAACCTCCTCCAAAACAAACACACCTGGGCCTGCTGGGGCTCCTCAGACACAGCCCTGGATGTTGGGCTTGGCCCGAGAGAAGACCTTGACATCCCCGAGCAGCACAAACCTCCTGCAGAATGTGCCCGGAAGGATCCTCAGCTGGGGGAGGCAGGGTTAGGGCCAAGACTCCCTTTAGGAGTTGATCCCTCAGCACCTGCGGTGGTGGCGACCAGGAGTCTAGTATGGCTGTGAGATCACGAGTGTGGCAAGCCCAGGTTGGCAGGCCAGGCATCCCTGTGCTCTCTCCCGGAAGACGGCCTCACGGCCTACAGCTGCTCATCAGTGCTTCCGTCTGAATTATAATCCGGATCCAACCACAGTGCCAGGACTAGGAGGGGTTTATAAAAGTAAGGAAGGCACACGTTCCCATTAAATAGTGATAGTTAAAATATAACTTCTAAACAATAGAATCGTTTTAACATTTTTTAAATTAAAGATTTTTATTGGAAAGTCAGATATACAGAGAAGAGAGACAAAGAAGATTTTCTGTCTGCTGATTCACTCCCCAGGTGGCTGCAACAGCTGAAGCTGAGCTGATCTGAACCCAGGAGCCTCTACCAGGTCTTCCACACAAGTACAGGGTCCCAAGGCTCTGGGCTGTCCTCCACTGCTTTCCCAGGCTGTAAGTAGGGAGCTGAATGGGAAGTGGGCCACCAGGATTAGAACCAGCACCCTTATGGGATCCTGGTGGCTGCAAGGCGAGGACCATAACCACTGCTAGATTACTACGCCGGGCCCTCTTTTTAACATTAAAAAAATTTTTTTTTATTTAATTTATTTGAAAGGCAGAGTGACAGAGAGAAGAAAGAGAGAGACAGAAAGATCGTCTGTCCACTGGTTCACTCTCCAAATGGTTATAACAGCTGGGACTAGATCAGGCTAAATCAGGGCAATGCCTGGAGCCAGGAGCTTCTTCTGGGTCTTCCGCTTAGATTCATGGACCCAAGCAATTGGGCCATTTTCTGCTGCTTTCCCAGGTACATTAGCAGGGAGCTGGATCAGAGGTCAAGCAGTTCAGACTGGAACCAGTGCACCGGTATGGGATACCAGCATCACAGGCAACAACTTAACATGCTTTGCCACAACTGCAGCCCTTAGACCCGAGTTTAGATCCTGGCTTCCTCATTTATCTTTTTTCTATTAAGCAAGTCATTTCACTTCTCAGAGCTTCAATTCCTCGCTGTAAATGGGTGATAGCATCTGTCACCAAAGACTGGTGAAACAACATGTTGTACTTAGCATGACATCTGATCACTAATAAGCATTCAACACATGACAATACTACTATCCACTAATGTCTGTTAAATTCGTGCCAGGTGCTATGCTAGGTGCTGGGGACAGAGAAATTTAAAAAGAGAAATCCTATAAGATACATGGAAACCTTACTATATACCTCTAGATCCTAAAAACAGTAATTCAACTAGTGAAAAATATCATAAAACAATATTACAGTGAAATGTGTGTGTAGGAAGGTGTGTAGAAATGTGATGCCAAGGAGTGTCCCTGCCCCAGGGGGTGATATTTGGTTGTCACATTTTTTTTTTATTAACAATAATTGTATGAAGTTTGTATGGGCTACAGTGTGACATTCTGCTGTATACAATGTGCACCAATCAAATTAAGGCAATCAACATTTCCCCTTCCTTTTCATTACTTTATGATCAGAGACTGAGAGTTTCTTTCCTTTGTTCACAGTATCTACAAGGTTATGGTGACCTGTCGTATCCCCACTGCGCTGTTTGGTACCAGGAACTCATCCCTCCCACACAACTCTAATTTGGTACCTGCCATCCCAACGTCCTTCTGTCCCCCACCTTCCCTCCCAGCTTCCAGTAATCACGGTCTTGTATTAGAGTGAGGTGTCCTTTTAGTTTTTACATTTTCTTTAGAGGAAATTGAAAGGCTTCACACATTTGCACAACATTCCTGTGCATGCCACTCTTCTCTGTATGCCTCCAGTGTTAGTATGTGTGCTGCGGGAAACGTGCACAGGAGGTGCCATTTTAACTGGGACCTGCGTGACAAGATGAAGGCCACCAGCATTCCAGGGAAAAAAAGGGATCTCAGACAGAGGAAAGAGTGAAGCCAGAGATCCGGCATGAGTTCAGTCATACCACCGTAATGGGCTGACTGGCAGTGAGCACGGGAAGGCAGCCATGGCAGGAAGTGAGGTGGGAGCTTAGGGCAGGGCCCAGGTCAAGGAGCAGCATGAAAGTTGCGAGCTCAGATTTCTTCTTCTTCTTTTTTTTTTCTTTGTTTCCTAGCAGTTCAGATTTTATGAACCAAGCCCCAGGAGGAGTTTAAGCCAGACAATGATGACATGATCTGATTTTCATTTTTTAAGAAAGATCGATTTTTAAAAGATTTATTTATTTTATTGGAAAGGCAGATATACAGAGGGGAGGAGACAGAGAGGAAGATCTTCCCTCCACTGGTTCATTCCCAAGTGGCCTCAACAGCTGGAGCTGAGCTGATCTGAAGCCAGGAGATTCCCCCGGGTGTCTCATGTGGGTGCAGGGTCCCAAGGCTTTGGGCCGTCCTTGACTGCTTCCCCAGGCCACAGGCAGGGAGCTGGATGGGAAGCGGGGCTGCTGGGACTAGAACCAGCACCCTTATGGGATCCCAGCGCTTGCAAGGCAAGGACTTTAGCCACTAGGCTATCACACTGGGCGCAAAAGAGATCTACTTTTATTAGAAAGGCAGTTACAGAGAGACAGGATAGACAAAGGCCTTCCATCTGTTGGTTCATTCCCGTAACTGGTTGCAATAGTCAAAGCTGAGCTGATCCGAAACCAGAGCCAAGAGCTTCTTCCGAGTCTCCCACATGGGTGCTTGGGTCTAAGGACTTGAGCCATCCTCCACTGTTTTTTTCATGTCATAAGCAGCGAGCTGGATCAGATCCGCAGCAGCCAGAACTTGAACAAGAAACCCTAATGAGATGCCGATACCACCACGCCGGCCCCCATCTGATTTTTACTTTAAGAACGTCTCTCTGGCCGCCCCATGGAGAATGAAGCAGGGAAAGGTGGAGTTTGGAGGCGAGTCTGTCGCAGTAATCCGTGTGCAGATGCTGGTGTTGTGGACGGGTCACAGGGCAACGTGCATTTGGAGCACACAAACGTGAGGGGGCGTGTGGAGAAACAGCACACAGAAGAGTGATCCTGGGTCTCTGCCCTGAGACCGGGAGGGGGGTATTTTCTGAGATGTGGAAGAGTGAGTCTAAGGGGAAACAAAGCAGGCTGGGTTCTGGCATAGCGGCAGTGCAAAGGGACAACGGCTAGAGTGACCAACTTCTGTTGCATCCACTTGATGGCTAAAACAGAATGTTACATTCACCGGTGACAGCCACAACAAAGTTGTATTATAAATGAGAGGCTAGGCAACTGACCGACGGACTTACTGGCTAGCCAGGCCCAACACTATTCACTGGGGTGTGGCCCTGAGCAGTAAATTCACAAAATTTTTATAGGGGCAGTTTGACACAGCTTCAAGGGGGGCACAATTTATAACAGCTCGAAAGGTGAGTGAGAAAGGGTCACACATTCCTTGCTTATCTTGTCTTGCCAGCCCCGACCTGCTCTCCTCAGGTCTGGACTCAACCTTGGCGCCACCTGTGACAAGCAGACCCCGATCTTGAATCATCTATGGGTTAATAAGGCTGGGGCCATTGGCATTAAAGGTTGCGTTGGCACTAATGGTCACATTAGGCCTGCAAGCTCACACAATTTCTTAGCCAAGCAAGTAAAGCAGGAATTACAAAAGCAAAAAGAACTGCGGTTTCCAATGCGCCATTTTTACTCCATTTTGATCTTCAACTTCGGAGCTGGAGCAAACGAGGGAGATTAAGAGAGCAGCGTTGGACCTGAGCGTCGCAAGACGAGAGCTACCAGGGTGGTCGGCCCAGGGGAAAGGGGGTTCGAGTACAAGTGTGGACAACGGATGGAGCAAGAAACACAACTCCCAAGTTAGTGTGTTTTTGGCAGCTGAGAACCCTGAGACTTAAGAGTGCTGAAACAACTTGCCCACGGATTTATACCCCAGTTCACGTCAGCTGTCACAAGTACTTCCGCCATCGTCGGCATCCCTTTCTGGAAGCCTTACTCAGTTCCCTGTTGTCACGGCAACAGACCTGGACCTCCTGGGCGGAAACCTGGAGCGACGATAACTACGTCACTATCATGCGTCTCCCTTTGCCAGGTTATAATATGGCCACCTCAGCTACGCACGACCCAGGTTTCTCAGGAAATACTCGGGCTTAACCGTCCCTGGAATTTACTCCAAGTCAAAAAAGGAAAGGACACATGCGCCACGGCAGCCACCCGGGCTTCCGGAAACCTCCACCTTGCCCTTAATGTCTTGGGTTCGTCAGGCAGTGGCCCCGCTCTTTGGCGTCACTTCCGTCGGCCGCCACGGTTTAGGATTGACTACTGTGGCTGTCCAGTCAGAAGCGGGCCCGCCCCCCAGGCTCGGGCGAAGGGCGGGTTTGAGAGCAGGAAACCCCGCCCCTCACCGGTGTGTGACTTCAGAAGCGCCATGGCCAGCTGAAACAACTTGCCCACGGATTTGTTTGTTTCAGCATGGATTTGTTGTTTCAGCATGGCCAGCTATCCGTACGGGCAGGTGAGTGTGTGAGGGGGCCTGTCGGTCTAGGTCCGGGAAGTGACAAGCCCAAACCCGGGGTCCCCCCGGTTATGCTTCCTCTCTGCTTTCACCGCGTCCCTTCCACGCTGTCGGCAGGGGAAGGGGATCGTCGGTCGCGCCCGCTCACGTCACGCGGGACTGCGTGTTTTGGGATGTCTTGTCGCGCTGGTCTGACGTAGCCCGCTCCCCGATAACTTGGGGGACCGTGAACCCCGCCTCGGCTTGCGCCCTGCTCCCCCGCTCCGGCTTTCGCGGGGGACCTGGGCTCCTCAGCCTCCACCAGACGTTGGGAGCGCTGTTTCCGTTGGTATCATTCGGGGCGTGGGCTCCAAACGCGGGTTCCCGGACCCATCCACGCGCACTGCGACCAGAGCACGCGGGAATCTGCGGTTGAGCTAGTTTGACCACGGTGCAGCATCTGCATTTCACAGAGCGAGAGGGCAACGCGAAAGTCACCGGGCGGGGCGGTTTAGATAGCCCTGCTGAGGTCTGCGCTTGCCTCCCCCGCACTTACCACTCTGCCTGGAGCGCCCCAGCAAGGTGACCCTGTCGCCAGAGCCCTTTGTTGAGTGACAGAATGGCAGATGGATGAAAAACAGTTTGGAGTCAGCGGTGGGTTTGCACCCGTCTCCAGCAGTAGTTGAGCGTAAGAATGTTGCCTGTCTGAGCCAAAGGGGCCTTCTCTTAAATAGCACCGGATAGTGGGGTCTGGTCATCCAGCTGTTAGCAGGAGCATGGGATGGTGCTTGCAAAGCGTGCTGCTGTTGGGTGCTTTGCTTCTTACTGGACTTCTGGCCCCTCACTTTACAGAGGAAGTCCAGAGAGGGATCCTGCCTTTCTTTGCCCAGGACCACACTGCAGTTGAAGAGATCTATGCAGGAAACAGCAGGGATGTTAGGGAGCATCTGAGTGTAGTTTCGTTGCGTGCCAGACGATACAGTCAGGGACACTGCGGGTGTGCATCCCTGTTCAGCTTACACAGTCATGGAGGCCCCAAAGGCAAGCAGGCGTTACTACCACCCTTCCCTCCCTTTACAGCTGAGGGAAAATAAGTTGAGTGGCTTGGCAGAGGCCAGTGTTAGCACCTACCTTCCCCCTGCCCCCAATGCCTGACTGGCAGAGGTAGGAAGGAGAGAAGCCGAAGAGGGTGGGGATCGGGAGGACGTGTAACGGAGCAGTGTTGGCCAGACTCTGTTCCATTGCTGTATTGTGAGTGTAATAGAGGAGGACCCTAGGGTCAAGTAAGAATGTCAGGATCCTCTTTTGGTTTTTAACATTATTTTCAGTTCATTACAAGGGCAGAAAGAAAGAGACATTTTCTGCCTGCTCCGGGCTCACCTTCCCCTAATGCCCACAGCAGTCTGGGCTAGGCCAGGCCAAAGCTAGACATTCCAGAAGTTCCAGAATTCAGTGGGGAATCTCCTATGGGCGTGGCAGGGCCCCAGGTACCTCCCAGGGTGTGCATCAGCAAGAAGCTGGAGGTGAACCTGACTGGCCAAGACTGGATCCAGGCATTTCCATACAGGTGTCTGAACCAAGGTTTAACTGCCTCCCCTCCCTTTTTTCCTTTTAAAGACTGGTCATCGTTTTGGGGGACTTTAGGATTCCTGAGTGACACAGTTTTGGAAAGCGCAGCCATCACGCACTGATGCTCAAAGGTTGGTCCTAAGTGAGAGCCTGTGCAAAGCATACTTTTGGGGTCCTCTCTGAGGCTTGCAAGGGGCCAAACATGGCCCAGGCAGCTGCATTTTAGTGGGCTTTAGGGGTAATTTTGTATGGATCTAAGAAGCTATGATAGATTAGGCAGGGATGGGCTAGAATCCTGACTGCCATGTACCTCATGCAAGCTCACGCCACCGAGCCTCAGCATCTTCCTGTAACTGTGGTGGTTCCTGTCAGAAGGCTGAGGCCAGGGGGAACTGTGCTGAAGCCTGCGGGGGACTTGGTGAACTCTGGGTGCCCAGTGATGCCAGGTGTGGTGGCAGCTGTCTGCCACAGGTGCACTTCTGCTGCCATGCTGCCTGGGCTCTATCCAGAGTAAAATCGGGGAGCTGTGTCTGGAAACGCTCCGAGTGGGAGAGGATTGCAGATACGCAGATTGGGAACTCAGTGATTGTGGTTAGGTAGACGTGCAGGTGCTAGGACAGAGTGGAAGGCATACCTAAATGGGCCTAGGGGTGTGAGGAGTTGTTTGTTTTTTATGAGGATTTTTAAATATTATTTTATGATACAGTTCCATTGGCTCTGGGATTTCCCTTACCCCCTTTCCAAACTCCCTTCCCCGCCATGGATTTCCCCTATATTATTACAATAGTATAGTTCTTCATAAGCAGTCATAAGCCCATCATCGCGGGCATGGACAATGGCAGAGTCCAGCATCCTATTGTAACGATAGAGTTAACAGTTTCATTGGGAGTCCATCTTTGAACTGGAAGTAGAGATGCATACTGCATTGTATCCTCACATCTGGATATGATAGTCTCCATTACACAGTTACTATACATCCCCTTAAATGAAAAGCCGCAAAACAAAATCAACAGGAAGAAAAATAGAAATTTGCAATGCCAGGAAGTTAAATAACATGTTACTGAATGATTAATGGGTTTCTGGAGAACCGAAAAAAAAAAAGTCAAGAACCTTCTTCAAGAAAATGATGTAACTGTGATCTATGAGTTAGTGAAGAAATCTGAGAAAAAAACTATTTTGAAGAAATAAAACTAAAAACAAAAACATCAAAATCCATGAGATATACTTTCCGCTGATCTTTGTTGGTGAGATGTATCTCCTGTAGGAAACAAGTAGATGGGTGTTGTTTTTTTTTAATCAGATCTGATCTATGAAGTTTGATTGATGGGTTTAAGCCATTTGCATTCAGTGTTAATATGAATAGGTGGTAATTTGGCCCTGTCCTTTTAGCAATGGGTTGTTCATAGATTTAATCTTCTGTTGTTATTTTACTGGGATGTTCTTCACATTTGCCTTTGGTTTTGCTGGGTGTTGTAAGAGTTATGGGAGTTCCAGAAGGTTCAGAAAGAGAAGTTTGGTTTAAAGCTGTATTCAAAGAAATAATAAATGAAAACTTCTCTAATATGGAGAAAGAATTAGGGAACAACATCCAGGAGAGGCACAGAACTCACAACAGGGTTGATCGAAAGTAATCTTCACCACAACATATGATAATCAGATTCTCTAATCGAACATAAGGAAGAAATCCTTATATATGCATGTGGAAAAAAAATCAATTGACGTATAGAGGAGTGGCGGTCAGAGTCACAGCTGATCTGTCACAGGACACTCTGCACGGCAAAAGAGAATGGAGCTATATATTCCATATTCTAAAATGAAAAAATTGTCGACCCAGAGTAATGTGCCCAGCAAAGCTTTTCTTTGTCTTTGAAAATGAAATAAAATTCTTGGGTGGTAGGGACCCAAGCACTTGGGCCGTCTTCCACTGCTTTCCCAGACAGATCACAAATGGAGCAGCTGGGACTGGAATCTTTTATTTATTTTTTAAGAATAAACACCTTTGTTACTCCCTTCCGGGCCTTGATTTTCCTTAGGTAGAACTCTGGTTCCTTGCCCTCTAGCACAAAGCCATCTGCTTGGCCACGCTGACCCCGGCCTGATGCAATGCAGCCAAGCAGCGTGTCTTGCTGAAACTGCTCCTCCAGAAGACTGCTGATCTTGGTGGTCTTTTTCCTTTCATCATATTTCCTCTTTTTGTTTGAGATCTCCTCCCTCTCAGGAGTCAGCTTGGCTCCCTTCTTGCGGCCCAGGGACAGTGCTTAGTGAGACTCGTACCACTGCCGGTACTTATAGCAGGCATTGTAGACGACATTGATGAGCCTGGTTTGGCGAGTGTAAGTCGAAGCCCCAGGAGAAGTTGCCCATGTCCAGCCTCAGGGCCCGGTACTTCTTGTTGCCTCTCCTTGCGCACTGTATGCATGCGGCAGGGGCCGACCTTAGTGCCCAGCTCATACTTACGCTTCTTGTGGTAGGGCTTTCTCTTGTCCCCAGTCTTGCGGTGCTTGTGCCAGTTGTCCTGAGAGATACCCATCACTCGGTGCTGGGGGGAAAGAGTGGAACCTGCCTTTTGATACAGGATGCCAATGCTGGGTCTAGCCCACTGTGCCACCATGCTGGCCTGGAGAGAATTCTTAGATGGCGCTTAAGCCCAGAACTGCCTTACAAGGAGGATGCAGCTGGGTGAAGACAGAATTGTATCCCAGGAGAGGAACTACTGCACAGAAAGCAGGTCAGAGCCCGGGAGTTGGGAGGGACGTGACGGTGGCCGGTGTGGTTGTGATGAGAAGGAAAAGAGATGTGATACAAGACCAGAAAGGGAAATACTCAGCAGATGCCACCGGAGCTCGTGTGCTTCCGGGGAAGGCGTCTTCGTCCCGAGCAGACCTAGGGAGTGGGTGAGAGGGTTCGTCGCATTTGTGCTGCTGCTGTGGGGTGCCCTGGGTGGGTTGAAGCAGCAGGGACTGAGACATAGGGAGAATTTTGAAGTTCTTGAGGAGGGTAGAGTAAGGGTGCCTAACAGGGTGTGGGAGGGCACCAGTTTGGTGGGGACTGGGGTAAAGAGGTCCCGCTCCCTGAGGAGGAAGAGAGGGATAAATAACTTTGGGAAGAAGGTGTGCAGGCTAGAGAGATGAAGCAGGAGCCGGCACAGTGGCAGCAGCCACTCAAATCCTGGGACATTCTGAGCTTGTTGTGTATTGATTGCGGTTCTGTCTTGTAAATACTTGAGGAGGCTCTGCTGGTGCATGCCTGAACCTTGTGTCCTCTTAGCTTGGACTCCTGCCTCTTCAGCAGGCCCTTACGTGATAATTCTGGGGGCACAGACTGTCTCGGCCTTGACGTTTCCCTCCCTTCCTCCCTCACTCTTTCGGATTTGGCATGGACCTTGGCTTTCACCAGAGTCTTGAGGTCAGAAGGAGGAGGCCTTGGTGCTGAAAGAAACCAGAGGAGGGGTC